AGGACATGAGTTGCAACTCGTTGCAACGAGTCGTGGTGGCGTCGCGGAAGCAAATGACCCTGACGTAAGGGAACATGGCGTATCACAGTCCACCTCATGTACACGTCAGGCTGTGCCTGACCGTGCCTGGAATTACTCGGCGTTGCAGTATTAGGGAAAAGTCTGTAGCGGAATATAGTAACGCCCGTGAGTAATCGTTAGTCGACTCAACGTGCACCGTCATGAGTTTGTCAGTGCGCCCCGCCGCGTGCTCAGTAGCCGTGCAGCCGGGGTAGAGGGGCGAGAGCACGCACGGATCTGTGTAGCGTGTGTGCCGTAGTGCACTGTGCACAGTGAGGATGGTGAGACACCACCGCAGTGTGTTGTGTAGATCAGGGAGTGCAAGTGGACAGCCGTGGTGGAGGTCCGAGTGGAGGTCCGAGTGCCGCTCGCCCCCGTGCGCCCGTGCATGGCGTGCAGTCCAGTCAACCACAGCGGATCGACACGCGGCATGCTCGTGAGTGCATGCCAAGTGAGTCACCTTTTCTGCGTGCCCTGCGCTAATAGTGCTGCAATTGGAAGAAGGAGGAACGAGGGAACGGGGCCTGCTGAGGACCTGGCAGACGACCTTCCACCTAATCGAGCACACTTAAGTAACCTTCCGCCTCTTCACATATTAACGACACCGAGCTAGATGTCAAGCTCACCCACCCGCCCACCGTTCTTCATGGGTGCATGCATGCATTGTCAGCGGTCCCGAATGTGTCAACCGTGCATTGCCGCTGGCGGCCGGTCGCTTCCTCGTTCCTCGCTTGGCCCTTTGCGCCCTCAGACGCCTCGGACGCCATGGACGCCTCCTCGTCGCGCCCCCTCGCGCCCCTCATGCGCCCCATCTGCGCCCCTCCATGCCCTCCACTCTTCACTTGAGTCACTCCCGTTCGCGCAAGTTAACGAGTTCGATCACACAGTGCCTCTGTGCTGTGCCTCCTCGTCCCTCGGTCGTGTGTCGTGTGATGAGAACGAGTGGCGGATATCCAGAGATGCGTCTGCATGCGGCTTCCACTCCGCACGCACCGCGAGTTCCGCACAAACCACTCACGCTATCTCTGAGAGCATCCGCGCAAACGTGAGAGCATACTGCGTTCCAAGGCTGCGGACCCTCGTATCCTCCGCTCAGTCTTCGTATGAGCCGTACCTGGCGGCTGAGGCATAATGCCCAGGCACGCGCCGTCGCGCGCGCCGCGTTCGCTTTGCTCTTTAGTCAAGCTCGAGGTGGCCTCCGAGCTGTCCGTGCCTGTGCCTTCGCCTCCGCTGGAGTCAGCCCGTCCCAGCCCGTCCCAGCCGCCGCCGCCGTGCCGGATCTGGAAGGCTACGAATCCTTCATGAAATGCAGTCTCGCGCTTGCTTCTTCGCAACATCCAGTGGCTTGAGTGATTGATGTTCATTGTTATTTTGTTTGGGGGAGAGAATGAAGAGAGTGGGTGCGCCTAACATGGCATTGATGCATGCCGCGGTCCGCTTTCCGCTCCGCATGTTCGCTTGTTGGCTGCTGTCCGGTAACGGAGAGAGTCGAGAGCCACCATCCGGCCTGTTGACCGGGTAGGCATTTCAACATGCCTCGTTTAACGAGGCAGCGCGAGCCTCACTCTCGAATGCTAGCCTCATTGATAACTGTGTTTTGGGACTTCGGTCAGTGATCCCCACACTACAGCTCCTTGAGGAGCGGGGCCAGCGACATGTGCATGCGCAGGTTCAGGCCTGGCCATCGCCTGTTCTGGGCCAGCGGATCGGCGACTCATGGAGGACCGAAGGGCCGGCGTGACCGAGCAACTACACTGGCGGGCATGGGCGGCCGCGCACTTGTTGCGAACGACTCGTCTCCCGCTATTGCTCGGCGAAGTATTTCTCGAACGTTGTTTACTTCTGCCCCAATCCCCAATGCAGATGGCCATCAGCGGGCCCTGCTGGCCTGGATACAGGTCGCTTTCACGCACCGGGGATGAACCCGCTCGTGCCATGTCTCGGTCAGCCTCACCCACGCAATATTTTCGCTGAGCGAGGCAGAGATAAGAGCTTGTCCGGAATTCAGCGAGGCACCCTCGGGCGTCCCGATCCAGCTGAGCTAGAGCAGGGCTATATCGAGCACAGAGCGGAGGGACGATAATGAAGGATTCCGAGCGACGACAATGAAATTGAGGAGACCCCGCGCACTGTTGCCGCATCTGACTCATGCCGGCCGGCGCGGCGCGGCGCGGCGAGCTGCGAGTGCAACGCGGGCAGGCGTCGGCGCGGGCAGACAACAGCGCGGGCAGCGAGTGGCCAGAAAAAATTGCCGGATTGTCGTCTCCTAACCCTCCTGACCCTCCAAGTGGCCAGATCCCGGTCCAGGAGCTACAGGACAGGCCAGGGGACGGCGTCTCAGTTGCTCGATGCACAGGCAGGAGCGGAGCGACATGCATTACGAGAGACATCGGGGGAGGGATAAGTCCGTCGGACTAGACGGCGGCGCACGACGACAAACCGGCACGGCGCTCGGCGCACGACGCCGTCGTGCCGTGCTGCCCTCCGGCCAATGTAGCGTTTACCGTTTAGCGAGCGCGCGAGCTGGCATGGAGAGGGAGGGTTGGGTCGCCGGCGACCTGGGAAGGAACAAGCTCGTGCCAGGCCCAATGGCCCTGGGACCCTACGTCCCTGGGTGCTGCAGAATTGCACTCACCCAGAAGCGCCCAGGTAGAAAGAGCTCCTCACTCAGTTTTCGGTTCCTCCCACCGCCTGCCCTGGATCCTGGCTCCTGGTCTCCTGGTTTCCTGGTTTCCTCGTCCTCACGTCGCATACTCTCGTATACGCGGTGTCCATGACATCCAGGCCGGGCAGGGGAATGGCCTAGGGGGGTCACTGGAATACGGTGTGGTCCCACCAGGAGCTCCAGTTTCTCGGCATGGGCCAGCGTTTCAAGAGGCTGACTTTCTGCACTACCTGAGTGTCTGGAGAGGAAAAGAGAGCCTGGAGCGTTCCCATCTTGGCTTTCATGGTTTGGGAGCATGTGCCTCTGCGCACTCTGCGCATCTCGCGGATTGCGCGCAGGTTTTTGGCACGGCCAATCGAAACGTGCGCTCTTCTGCACGCTGATGCGGCGTTCGGGATTTTGCGACGTACATGCTTTGCTAGTGCTTGCATGCTCGAGTGTGGTGTCTCGAGGGCGAGAAGTGGGAACAGGGACTGCAGTAGCCTGCCGAGGCTGGCCGATGCAACAAGACTGCGACAGGCCTCCTGGTCCTGAATGCTGACTGACCGACGGTCCTGAGCCTGCGCTTGAGCTTGCTCAGCCGTGCAGCCGTGTGCCATGCCGTGCTCGAGCTTTCGTGGAGAGTCAAGTCTGGGAGGATTCTGCGATGCAAAGGCAAGAAGAGAGGAGCAGAGTGAGGCGCAGAGGCGCAGGGCAGACGCAGATGCGACAAGAATGGGACGCCTTGGCCCGGGCGGGGATGAATCGATGAAGGATGGGCTGAGGCTTGGACTAGTCGTCGATCATTCTCACCGCCGACAGGTCCCATCCATCGGACATCCACCGTCCACCGCCTGGTGCCGCTTCCACCGGCCACCACGTCCACCGCCCCTTGCCATCCGCACGCACGCACGCTCAACTCGATCCTCCCTCTCAACTCACACACTCTCTGATCATCATCACCCATCACCCATCGTCCTTCACCCTTCACTTCTCCCCATCCATCGCTCTCGCTCCCCAAACCCCGCCCATCGCTCAGCCCGCTCAGAGGCGTCCGCTCCCTTGCACACCTCATCTCTTCCTCCCCCACCCTCAAAACTCGAACTGGCAACACCTTCACCACCCGTCCTTCAGCTTCGCAAACACACAGTCCGCATCAGTCGCCAGCCTCCTTGTCGCTGCATTGACGCCCCTCTCCACCATGGCAGCCACGCCTCCAGTCAACCTCGACAAGCTGCGGCTTGACGACGAACCGCACTCGGACGACGAGAACCAGACGCAACAGTCAGAATCGAAGCAGACGCACAACGCCTGTCCTGCCCTCACCAGTCCCAGCAACCCCTCTCCTCCCCCCTCCCCGACTAAAACTTCGCCATCCCCGCACCCGAGTCCCGCCGTCGCCACCCCAGCGCCGATATCCGCCATCCCGCCGAAACCGACAGTCGCCGTTCCTTCCTCGGCCACGGTGCCCGGCCAAGCGGCCAACAACCTCGTCCCCAACTCGACGTCGCCAAACTCGGCCTCAACACATCCTTCCCTGTCCGTCAGCCCGCAGGCGCAAGCATCACCTTCCCCGACATCGCCCCGCGGCCCAGTCGCAGGCTTTACGTCCCCTGCGGCGCGGGCTCAACTCGAGGCTATGCGCGCCGGAACGCGTGGTTCACCAGCAATGCCTGTTGCAGGCGATGTCCGTCCCCCGCCGCCCGGCGCTGCCGTTGGCGCGCAGCGCATGGTTCGTCCGATGGGCGGCCCCATGGGCATGCGTGCCGTCGGCAACCAGCCGCTTCCCTCAAAGCTGCCCCCGAGTCTGCAGGCCAAGATGGACGCCGTCTCAGGACGAGTAAGTTTGCTTCCATGATACCACCTCGGTCTTCGCGACCGACGATCGCCGTTCCGGGCCTACTGTGTCCCGCACTTGGGTGGATCACAGTCAGGCTCTTGGCCGCAGTTGCATTGCATCGTGCACTGGCCTGCGCCATGCGTTTCCCCCAGTGCCCGGCATGCGGAACATACACACAACCCTTGGGATCCGCATGCTCGCCGCAGTCGACTGCCTCCCCTTTTCGATCTGTCCAGTTTGATTACCCAATACTGACCTTTACAGCATCGCGCAGGTACGCCCGCGGCCCATACCGCTTTGGGAGGCATGAATCCTGCACCCGCTGCGACGTCGATGAGTGCTCTTCTTCTTCAGCAGGCTAGGCAGGGCGGTGCTGGAGGTGCTGGCGGCGATGCTGCCGGTGGCTCGCGCCCTGCTGGGCCCAACACTGGCCCTCTCGGTCTCGCTGCTCGTCGGGCCGCCAACCGTCCGCCAATGACGCTCGGCGGCGCCGCCGGCCGCCCTGCTGCTGGAGCTGGTGGTCTCGCCGCTGCTCGTGCAGGTGTCGGAATCGCGGGACGTCGCGGACCCCCGGGTGGCCTCAGCCTCGCTCAGATGGGTGCCTCTACTCAGGACAACCGTTTCGATGACTTCAGCCGTATCATGCAACCCAACGGAACGCTCAAGTTCTCCAAGGCTGTCCTTCACTCTGGCGGCGTCGACTTTGGAGACGGCCAGTCCTTCAAGATCAACATGGACGAGATGGAGGTGCTCGGCGAGCTGGGCAAGGGCAACTATGGCAGCGTGCAGAAGGTCTTCCACCGCCCGACCACTGTGCCAATGGCGATGAAGGTGAGTATCAACACGTCCTTTGGTGCTCTGATGATGTGCGACATGTCTCACATTGGACGATGCCAAGCACCCTAGTTTCTGCGCGAGGCTGACGTCAAATCAGGAAATCCGTCTTGAACTCGATGAGGCTCGTCTGAACAGTATCATTGTTGAGCTCGACATCCTGCACCGTGCCAAGGCCCCGGAAATCGTCGAGTTCTACGGAGCCTTCACTATCGAGTCATGCGTCTACTACTGTATGGAGTTCATGGACGCCGGGTCTCTTGACAAGCTCACGGGCATGGGCCGGTTCCCCAAGGACCAGAAGGAGATGGACGAGCCGCCAGAGCACGCCGTACCCGAGGATGTCCTCCGCCGAATCACGGCATCCGTTGTCCGCGGACTGCGGTTCCTCAAGGATGAGCTCAGCGTTATGCACCGTGACGTGAAGCCGACCAACGTCCTGATGAACAGCAAGGGAGAGGTCAAGCTCTGCGACTTTGGTGTCTCTGGACAGCTCGAGCGCTCGCTCGCGAAGACAAACATTGGATGCCAGAGCTACATGGCCCCGGAACGTATCCGTGGCGAGAGCCAGAACCAGCAGTCGACATACACGGTCTCGTCTGACGTCTGGTCTGTCGGATTGACTATCATCGAGCTTGCGCGCGGATACTACCCGTACCCGCCCGAGTCGTACTCAAACGTGCTGCTGCAGCTGAGGGCTATTGTCGACGGTCCGACCCCGACACTGCCCAAGGGTTACAGTGAGGAGGCGCAGGACTTCATCGCGAAGTGGTGAGTTGTTTTTTGTTCGGAGGAAAACTGACATTGCAGTTTGGTGAAGGACCCGAACGGCCGGCCAACGTACGCGCAGATGCTCGAGCACCCCTGGCTGCTTAAGGACAAGGACGCGGACGTCGACATGGCTGGTTGGGTGGCTGGGGCTCTGGAACGACAGGCCAAACGTGGCGTTATTCCGCTGGAGGAGATCGAGGCGTAAGCCGGTCATCCTTTCCGGGCATGGGAATGCTGCAACGGAGGAGATACGGAACGGGGCTACGACATGACGCGGACACTTTCGCAGTGCCCGCGGTGAATCTGAGTCGCAGCCACCTCTTTGGCGTTGTCTCAGACGGCGCTCGAGGACTTCTCACCGTTTCACGGACGGATCGTCATTGTTCCCCTCCGCTTGGCATTGGCCACTCGTGCCTCCTCTCATCGTCTTCCTCCGCTTCGCGCCTCCCTCTCTGCCCTTACCCTCATCCCACGATGTGTGTGGGTATTCTCTTTCTCGACTGCAAAGTGAACGCGGATCATGTTGGAATAGCAAGCATACAATATCATCATTCGGGCTCGGGCTCCTTTACGAACAAGCAAGCACACATATACGCAAGACAAAAGATTTGCCAGAGGGCGCTGTACATGTTGTAATCCTGAGGGATTGGTTTGTGTGGTATCGGTAGTTAGATGTTCTCCAGGGTTTTCCTCTTCTCTCTTTCTCTCTCTCATTAGTTTATTCCTCCTCTTTGCTCTATTACTTGGTCACGGTTGGGTTCTGGTAGTCTCGCGTTCCCCTCTCTCCACCCCATACCCGCCTCTCCCTCTCTCATGTGCCTCCCATAGGAACATCTGCATCTGATTATGACAACGTGGCAAGGTAGCAATGTCAGTGTGGAGCGGATGGGAAGTGTATTCAGTCGAGCATGTGCGTAAGTGGGAATTGAGTGCCCATGTGCGTGTGGGACATGACAGCAGCCGCAGCTTGCAGACGTATTTTGTGGGTTGACTGCGAGCGTGGGCCATTGCATGGGTGGAGGCATGCATCCGCAGAGGACCGCAGAGTGTGCGAGGGGTGCGGGGATGGGTGAGCCCTGCGGGCAAATGTGCGGAGCAACATTGCCGCTCGCACTGAAGAGTCAGGGCCGGCGACTTACAGTGCGGCATCCCACGTGGTCGGGTTCAATCACGAAATCATTCCGAGTCGACTGACTGAGCGCAGGAGGAAATTAGGAAATTGACGTGACCACGCCACACTTTTCTCCAACTCATCTTCACCCTCTCTCTCCAACTCGACCCCCCCCCCACCTCGCCTCGACCACCATGTCTGGCCCCCAGAAGATCCGCAGGAGCAGCGTCTCTGCCTCCGAGCCTCCCAAGACGTGAGTACCCCGTGACTGCCCGCGTGGTCGGACCGTCCAGCAGCTAGCTCAAGGGGCTGAGCGGGAACTCCGCGGCAACCGGTCGCTGCGTCACTGCACCTGCCGATCGACCTCTGTAATCGCCGTGCGGTGCGCTGTCACCTAGCGCTTCCCGCGTCAGAGCGCTTGATCTCGTGACCTTGCAGAAGCTCGGCCCGAGCGGACAGCTCTGTCAGGTGGTACGGTTGCCTTCATCAGTCGGACTCTTGGCACTGCTTCACTAAAGATGCCTTCACCGTGCGCGGCGCGGGCTCCGCTTTGCACCACGTTGGGGGACTCCGCAGACCATCACTACGGCTGCCTATTGTTCTCGGCGTGCTCGTGAGAGACGCCCGTGCACGGAAGGCTGTGAGCCCCACGGCAGCGACAAACCTCGCACGTCCACGGGCATATAAAGATGTCACCTGGGGCGTCTTCCAAAGCTTCCACAGACACGCAGCCTGCGCGAAGAGAACGATTAGCTAATGACTATCAGCATTCCCATCCCCACGAACCCCTCGGGCATCGCGTCCATGGCTGGTCAGTCGCCCTCTGCCCAGTTCTCGACCTCGCCCCGTCTGGCTACCTCGCCTGGCGGCACTGCTCTTGGCCGCTCGTTCCAGCAGGCTGCCGCTGCCAACGCCCGTCAGCTCACCGCCTTCCTTCCCCCGACGTACCCGATTCCCGAGGGCGACGAGGGAACCGCCACTCCCACTCGCCAGGGCAAGGTCCGCATCCTGCTGCTCGAGAACATCAACATTGACGCTGCCAACTTCCTCAAGGCGCAGGGTTACGAGGTCGACCACTTCACCAAGGCCTTCTCCGAGGATGAGCTGATCGCCAAGCTCCCCGCCTACCACGCCATCGGTATCCGCTCCAAGACCAAGATCACGCCCAAGGTCATCGACGCCTGCCCCCAGCTCCTCGTCATCGGCTGCTTCTGTATCGGAACGAACCAGGTTGACCTGCAGCACGCTGCGCGCCACGGTATTGCCGTGTTCAACTCGCCGTTCTCCAACTCGCGCTCTGTCGCCGAGCTCGTCATTGGCGAGATCATCTCGCTTTCGCGCCAGCTCGTCGACCGCACCTCGGAGATGCGCGCCGGTATCTGGAACAAGGTCTCGAAGGGCTGCTGGGAGATCCGTGGCAAGACCCTCGGTATCGTCGGTTACGGCCACATTGGCTCGCAGCTGTCCGTCCTCGCCGAGTCGTTCGGTATGAACGTCATCTACTACGACGTCATGCCCATCATGCCCCTCGGCACTGCCAACCAGGTTGCTACGCTCGACGAGATGCTTGCCAACTCTGACTTTGTCACCCTCCACGTCCCCGAGATCCCGGACACGATCGGTATGATGGGACCTGAGCAGTTTGCGCAGATGAAGGATGGCGCGTACTTTATCAACAACGCGCGTGGCAAGGTTGTCGACCTTGGTGCGCTCGCCGACGCTCTCGAGAGCGGCAAGCTCGCCGGTGCCGCCGTCGACGTCTTCCCCAAGGAGCCCGGAAGCAACGGCCCCGGCTTCAACGAGACGCTGGGCGACTTTATCCCGCGTCTCCGCAAGCTGCCGAACCTCATCATGACGCCGCACGTCGGTGGTTCGACCGAGGAGGCGCAGCGCGCCATCGGAAACGAGGTCGCGACCGCGCTCACCCGCTACCTCAACTACGGCACGTCGATCGGCTCGGTCAACTTCCCCGAGGTCGACCTCCGTGCCATCACGGCCGACGACGAGGCGCACATCCGTGTCTGCCACGTGCACAGGAACGAGCCCGGTGTCCTGCGCGCGATCAACGCCATTCTCGGTGGCCACAACATTGAGAAGCAGTTCTCCGACTCCAAGGGCGACATTGCGTACCTCATGGCTGACATCTCGGGCGTTCAGTACGAGGAGGTCAAGGACATTTACGAGGCCATCAAGGGCACTCGCGCCAACATCCTCACGAGGCTGCTGTGTGAGTGTCTTTCCCAGCTACGCTTGCGGCCATCTTAGCTGACAAACACCACAGACTAAACGCATGTTTCGCATCTTGGAACTCCATCAAATTAAAATGACCCGTCAACCGGGCTGTGTAGCATCTGTAGACCCTCAACCAGTGTTCTTCCACTTTTCTTCTTCCCAACCATCATGAATAGAAATGCATCGAGTATCAATCCCAAAGCCGTCACAGATCTGATAAGGATAACGAGGGTGAAGTGTGGGGTTCAGGGACGTTGCCTCTGGAACGGCGGGGAGATGTGTAGCTTTCACAGGAAGGTCTAGCGTTACGCCTCGCTCCAACAGAACGCCCATAGATGAGTTAGTGTGGACGTACCGGAAGTGCGGGATGAAAGGGGTCGGAGTCATCCGATGCGGTCATCGGCGTGCGCGGCGAGTGAGTGATGCGGGGAGGGGATGGAGTGATAACGCGTTATAGGTGATTGAGGGTGGTGCCATTCACGCCTGGGCCGTGCTTTTGCCCCCCGTTCTCGTAGTGGAGAATGCAGAGAAACGAGGGTGTTTACACTGTGCATGGATGGTGTAGGCACGTACCTGGGTCGGACTCGATGCATGCCTATCTCGATAAGAGTGTGCCCCAAGGTGTAAGTGCTGCCGAGTGTGGGTGCTGGTGTGGAAGGACAGGGTCATGGACGTGGGGCTCCCCGTCACACTATCTAGTGCTCTCAACCTCCCAGGCATCCTTCCCCAGTCACCTCGGCACCGCCTGGCTCAACCACGCTCCGGACCGTCTCACATCTCCTCATCAACCATCAACATTCAACACATTCACACACATACACAAACGCATCGACCCCAACCCCCACACGCCCACCGCCCACACAGCCCAGCTCAGCCGCCTCAGCCTTCCGCATCTGGACACTTTGTAACTGACTCGACCACGAACGATTACCCGCTAGACCACCCCGACTCTGACTCCGCCAGCATATCATAGACCTTAGCTAGAGCTTACACCACGCCACCACAACGCCAACAACCCGATAAGGCCCTCTTGCCCATTCATTCGCATTCTTGACATCCCGCTTCCTGTCCATCAACCTCCCTCCCTTGCATCAACGACGACCCTGCCCCGACACCCACCGCGAATCGAGACAACATCCCTGCAAGCGGTGACGACAGCATTCACAACACCTCCACTCCACGCGTCCGCACGTCTGCAACAACACTCTAGACTCGACTCCAGTCACCCTTCCCCCTTCCCTCGACTCCCGCGCCTCCACAATGCACTAAGCCATGTCGCGACCACCAGCACCAGACTCGGCGTCGTCCAGCGTCATGTCCTCCGGGCCAGGGCCGCTCGGCGGACTAGGCGGAGGCGGCAGCGCCGCGTACGGCAGCAGCAGCAGCAACACTCCCAGCAGAGCGGACCAGATTACATACCGGTTCTACATCAAGACCGTGTCTGTGCTTGTTGATGGGCGGGTGACGCACTTTGGCAAGGGGGAGAGGAAGAAGGACCGGTGGGTGAGTACTATGTGTCGCTCGCGTCAGCAGTGAGCGTCCTAGGAGCGTCCAAGCGCGTCTCGGATCACTCAGAGTGCTGCTTCTGACTCGACTGCGGTCACTCCTCCTCAGCTTCCGACTCTAGCTCTTAGCTAACACCAGTTCAACCTCACTGTCCCCGACACGGACGTGCACAAAGCCGACCTTACGATCTACCGCCAAATCTCAAGCTACACCGAAGTTCCGCCGCTCATGATCGCGTTCATCCTCGACACAACCGATATCCCCGCCGGCCAAGGTATCATCTGGAACCCACGACCAGCCGGCGATGGAAGCGGCGCCAGTGTGCGCGTCCCGATCGACGTTGGCAAGCGCAAGGGTATCGTCCTCGAACAATGGACGTTCAAGTGCTCGTGAGTTGTGGGTTCTGATCGGGCCGGAGCCCGGCGCACACCATTCGACGTAGCCGCGGCCGCAATTTACAAGGGGTGACAGAAGGCAAGACATCAATCAACTTGCACGCGACACAGCCTAAACCCATGACCATGACCTCAGAGGCTTTCCTCGATGAGGCGACTGTTTGTGTCGCGCAGCCGCCGCCTGCGCACTGTCAGCCGTCACATGACGGCTTACAGGTAGGCAGCGGACAATCGCGCACTCGATTCGGGCTCCCGGGTACGCGGTGGCTGATCTTACTGAACGGTGTGCTATGGCTTGCCACTCGAACCCTGTCTTCCTTCCCTGCAGGCGCCATTATCTCCCCGCATGTGAGCACGCACTGACCCCGTCGCAGGCAGCACGCAGCTATCTCGACTTCTGACATGGCCCCACCGACAGCATACCGTGTTGGCATTGTACACTTCAGAGCACTATACAGCTTCATCCGACTGCTGCCCGCCTACCGACTATTCCGACGGCTCCGAAGGCAGAACAACGGCCTTCGACTCGGCATCAAACTGTGGGCCCCGGACGGCTACCCCGCGGACGCCCTCGGCGAGGCCTGGGACGTGATCGAGCGCGACCTTGCCGGGATCAAGGTGCCGCTGGATAATCTCAGCAGTGCGACCGGCAGCGAGACGGAGCACTACGACTTTGCGCCCCTGCAGCTGTTTGGCAGCACGTATGAGCTCGGCGTGACGTACCGCCCCAACGTGGACTTTGAAGTGGAGGACTTGGAGAGCGTGCTCTCGGAGCGATTCGTGGACATGGATGAGGAGTGGTTCACGCCAACGGTGGCGCGACACCGCCTCGAGAGCGAGCGCTCAGGCGCTGGCTCAGGGTCGAACACGACGAGCCGCTCGGCATCACGCGCCGGGCACCAGACGCCGTCACGGCGTACGTCAATTGTCGTGTCTGGCACGCCGGGAGCGACACCCGGCAGTCTCGGTGCGGGCAAGTGGAGCGCGATGGCGGAGGGGCTGCCATTCGCCATCAGAGCTGGAGCTGGAACCGCAGACGAACCGCCTTCCCCGCAAGCAACGATACCGGCGTACAGGCGGCTGAGTGCGCACTCGCTGCAGCCGTTCCAATCGATCAGCGCGTCGCCTACGGCGTCCGTGTTACGGGGCCAGACACCAAATCTGCCGAGCAGCGCGGGTGCCGCCGCGCGCGCCATCCCGAGCAGCGCAGGCAGCCAGCCGATGGCGCGGACGAGCTCCTTCCTGAGCCAGTCGGGCCGATCGCACTCGCACGCGCAGATGGCATCGATGCAGCCGTCGACATCACACGAGACGCCAACGCACCAGGGCACCCCACCCCTCGGGCCGCCGATAGGTGTGTCGCCTCCCACGCCGTTCCCCGCGAGCCCGAGCGTCAGCAAGCGCGCCAGCATTGCACTAGCCAGCTCGAGCCCGTTCGTCGGCGGCAGTCTGGAGCGAGACTCCCCCTTGCGCCGGGGCAGCCTGGGCCGGTCGCCGAACAGCCCCATGCTGCGACGAACGTACACGCGCGAGTCTCGGCGGTCGCTAGACGAGCCCTCGGGCGACAGCGACGACATTCACGCCTTCCTCCGCGCGCTCGACAGCTGGACCCCACCCGCGAGCGTGGGGCAGGGGAGCGGCAACGTCGCTGGATCCAGCGGCAGCGGGCAGGGCAGCAGCGGGGCGGCCGACTCGCCCGCGCGAAGCGTGGAGCGCGACCGCGTCCCCCTCACACGCACGCATGTCGACGACATGCTAAAGCGGATGGCGGGCAGCTTCCAGTCCCCGACACCAGGGAGCAACTCGGGCCCCTCCAGCGCAAGCAACACGGGCAGTCGGCGGAGTTCCCTCTCCGGCCCCAGCCTGACACGCAGACCACAGCGCCTAGAGCGACCGGGCCTCCTCAGCGCCAGCCGGCCCGTGTCGACCGCGTCGTCCCCCGCCCCAACGCGCGGCATCAGCACGCTAGCCCACGACGCAGAACCAGAGCCTGAGGCCGACAGCTCCGAGCGAGGCCTAACGCGCACCTCGACTGTGCCCGTGCAAGCGGCGCAAGCCAAGCCAAAGCTCGGAAGTGGGGAGGCCCGCTCCCTCCCGTCCGAGACGCCGCTGCGTCCCCCCCGCGGCCCGATGGTGGTGCGCGGCGGCTTCGGCGCGCTCAAGGTCGGCAAGCCGTGCTCCCCCTCGCACAGCCCGGTGCGGGACCGCGGCGAACGCAAACTGGAGCGCGAACTGCCCAAGGGTGTGGGCGGGATCACAGATAGGTCGGGCGGCGTGCCGTCCTCGCGGGAGAGTAGCGGGGACAAGCCACGGGAGGGCAGTCTGGCCTCCCAGGCGACGGCGACGGCGGCCAGTGGGGAAACTAGACCGGGGATCCAGCGGATCCGCTCTAGTGTCGCGAGCGGGGGGCGGGGCAGCCTCAGCCGCAGCGCTGGGTCGGGGTCGCAGCAGAGTCCCGTCTTTGAGGGGCTTATGGCGAAATTGGCCCAGAGCAAGCTGGATGCGCAGGAGAGGGAAAGGAAGGCGTCTGCGTGAGCGACGCCTGACGTCGCGAAGGCTCGTGTCAGCGAGGCCCGCGTTATTGAAGGCTGAGCCCCGTGAGTCCGCGGGAGCAGTGTTTCTCCGCTGAGCAACTTGGGCGAGCAAGACGGGATGGCTAGAGAGCCACAGTAGCGAGGTAGAGATAGAAGGCAGTATGTTATGCATTTTGTACAACTTCTACAATACATGCGCAATGAGTACGCCTTCCTTGCCTCGACTGAACGCCTCGACGAGCTCGACACCAGGCCCGAATCGCATCACGGCGCTGGAACCGGAGAAGGTCGTGCCGCGCTCCACTCCGCTGCGGTTGGCAGCGACAAAGACGACCTCCTTGCTTCCTTCATTGCCCTCCCTCCCCTCCGGGGGTCTAGAGTATTCGGGACTCGGATCATGCAACGGCGCACACCTCGCCGCCCAATAGTTGAGGTTTGACAAACAAGGATGTTCTGGTCCCTTGAGGTTTTCCAGCTCTTCCCTCTCTTCATCGCTCAGGTCCGATTCGTCGAGTTCGGGCTGGAGCCAGTTCATCGGCACGACGAATGTATCCCCGCCGACGCGCTTCACGAAGCCGGACAGCTCGTACGCATTCCAAGGGGCTAGGAAGTCCTTCGGGTTCAGGTCTTGGTGTCAGCTCGCTTTCCGACTTCGACTAAGCTGTTCTGTGTACACCCCCGTCGTGGCCAGAAACCGACAAGTCGAGGGAGGGCTGAGAAGGGGGGAGGGGTTATAGGGGACAAGATGAGACGTGGAGGCCAGACTCACCCATACACACGCCAATGACGAGACGGCCCAGCGGCGGGGGAAGGTCAAAGTATCGAAATCCAGGCCCTTCGCGCGCCCATGGCCTGTCGGCGTCGTAAAGGAAGCTCTTGCGGTAGTTGCACAGAAGATCTCCGGAGGGGCCAACTAGGAGAGCAGAGTTGTACCCAATTCCCTTTGTCTTATGCGCTCCATCTTGGGCGGTGGCCGGGGTGGTGGTGGCCTGAGCCGTCGCCTCGTCAAAGGATGGAGGCAAGTCAGAGGAGTCGGATGGCGGTGGGATGGCCAGCTGTGCCACAGAAGCCGACGAGATGATCGCCTCATCATCGAGCGGGGGTGGATCGAAAGGCGGTGGACTGGCAGAGTGTGTCAGCTACAATGCCGGGGGCTACAGCTGGGGTAGAGTCATCACGCTCGGAGTAGTGTAGAAGAATGAAACGAGGTGTCGTCTAACCTCCCGAGAACAGGGGGGTCTGTACGGGCTTGGCGTTTGCGTTCGTCTCTGCTCGACTCTTGAGCGAATGGACTCACGCTTCGATACTGGTACTTGCAGACGTAGAGGCAGAGGGAAGACCATAGCCCTCTGGTGCGAGTGAGTCCCCAGGTTGAGGGAGACGTTCCGGATACCCCGCAACGACATAGCATCCCAGTCGCTGAGCGATCTCAGAGGACATGTCGAACGTGATCCCAGGGCGCAATCTCCTCAGCGTTCTTGAAGCAGTACCCCGTCACGGCCATCTCGGGCAGGACCAACAAGTCCAGCTCGTCCCGCCCCAATCCTGCCGTGAGCTGCTTCACGCGCGCGACATTCCGGCCCACTTCTCCGATCTGTTGTTAGCTCAGTCTCGACGAACCTAGAGAAGCTACGGAAGGAAGGGAAGGAAGGAGGGGAGAAGGAGAAGGAAGAACACACCTTCGGATCATACTGGACACAGCCTACCCGGAGCGGGTGCGCGCGCCGGGGCGATGCCGAGCCAGAGCGCAAGGGCGCGGGGGAGGAGACGGCCGAGAGCCGCGAGACGGTGGATGGTGGTGTGGTGTCCAGGTGGACTATGGTGATGAAAGAAGATGACAGTTAAGTCGTTGCAGCGGGTGGGATGCGTAGCGTGTCAGGCTACTGGTGCGCAGTGTGTGTAGCAGCGCGTGTGGTGCGTCGTCAAGCTGTGGAAATGGGGTCGTTCTGGACCTCCACCCTCGTTCCTCGCGTCCTCAGTGCAAGTGACGCACTCTGGAAACTCGTTAGTGGAGCCCCACAACGCAGGCTGACATAAGCTGGCGGGCGCGCGGCCGGACAGCGTGAAACAGTGAATCTGGCTCAGCCTGAGTGGCGCAGTGGTTAACGCGTCTGTCTTGTACCACGCACGAGAACAGAAGACTCCTGGGTTCAAATCCCAGCTTGGGCTGCCAACTCTTTTGCATGTTACGCTTATTTGCGGGTCGTCTGGAGATATGGTGCGAGACATGCATCTACGATCTCGTGTGTCGAGTGACCGACACCTCTCACAATCCATCGGTCTACGCAAGTTGTCGCACCCCAGACTCGCATTTACAACTGCCGCCCCACTGCCATGCACAGCATCGAGTTCTCTGATTGCTGTGAACTCTCACCCGTTTTCCGCTCCCACTCCCACACTGCACCGCCCGCAGTGGAGACACGCAGACCCTAACTCCACGCATCCACAACCCACTCAAAGACTTCTGACCTGTACCAACCCGTAAGAATCATAAATGGCATTGTTCATGATGAAGCAAGCTATGAGCAGCTGGCTGAAGGGGTAGTGCAAGTCTATGCGACGGAAGGTCTATGAAGGGTTGGCTATACTAAACTGTTTGCATTGCTTAAAGAAGAATGGCGAGGCCGCCGAGGACGACCGAGAAGGCCGAGATGCCAAGCGCAGCAGCGACGGGGGAGGCGCCCGACTTGGCCTTTCCGGCGCTCGAGCCAGCGCTGGGCGCGGCCTTGTCCGAGCTGCTCTCGCCGTCCTTCGAGTCACCGGCCGCGGCCGTGTTCTCGGGCACGCCCTCGAAGCTGGTCTGGCCCGAGGTGTAGGGGACGACCTTGTCGGTCTGCATGAGGAGGGCGGTGGGGATGCCGTTGCTGATGGTGGAGTAGGTGGTGCACTTGGACGAGGCGGGGACGCTCATGGCAGACGAGGGGGTGACGGTCTGGCCGACGGTGAAGAGGCCGGTCGTGCTGTGCGCCTTGTCCGTGTACGTTCCCGTGTAGCGCTGCGCGAAGGTCGAGGTCGAGCCGTTCTTGAGCACATACAGGCCGGGAGGGTACGCGGCGTCGGCCTCGCACTCGGTGAAGGTGCCGTTGGTGTAGTCGCCGGGCATGACCCAGTTGCAGCCCATCTCGTCGAGCGTGTGCTGACACTGCTCGGCGGCAGTCACCTTGTCGTTCTCGGCGATACAGATGCGGATACAGAACTGCTGGAACGACATGTAGTTCATCCACTCCTCGTAGTTGACGTCGGTGCCCGTCGCGTTGGTCGTGACATTGCCGCCGACGGGGTTGCCGAGGCCGGTCGCGCCGTGCGGGTCCAGCTCACCGCCCTGGTCGCCGGCCTTGATGTTGAGCTTGGTGAAGTCGCCCCAGCCCTGCACCTGCCAGTAGAGCGGGGTCTTGACAAAGTGCACCGCGTGGAAGGTGCCGTCCGGGATGACACGGGCGTTGTTGCGCGGCTGCACGCACCACGCAACCTCGCGGTCCTCCGTCTCACCAATGACCGAGTCCGGCTCGGGGGGAGCGAAGAGACAGAAGTCGTCAATCGCGTTGATCGATACGAGTCGCGCCATGGACGTCTGGTTGATGTTCTCGTTGACAACGGGCGCGGTGGGGTTGGTGACACCCATCGTGCCGGTCGCAGTCACCTGCGCTCGGGCCTGGGCATTGTTAGTCACTCGACTTGGCGGCTGGTACTCACGACCGAGGCAAGGACGGCTCCAAGGACAGCCAGAGAAAGCATTTTGGTTACTGGAAGGTCAGCTTGTGCTTGCATGAGTGTGTTTGCATGCTGGGAGGAATGGCAACAGCAGAAACTCAAGTGTTCGCCGGATTGTGCAGTCGCCACTCTGAGGGACACTCACAGTGAAAGGTGAAGAAAGAAGAGAACGCTCGATCGCCGTTAAGAACAAGACAGAGAGTGTGGTAGGGAGGAGCGTATGCGTAGGCGCAGAAGAGTTGACAACTTTAAAGGACGAGGTGAGGATGAAGAGTAGTGGAGAGAGAGAGACAGACAACCATGCTGGCTGGACAGGTGTACCGCAATTGCGGAGCCTGCTCGGCTTGCTCGGTATGGCAACTGGCAGTGCAGCAGTGAGCAAGCGACTGCTGCAGTGGGGTGCGCGAGCCTGGCCTGTCCAGGATCCATACTTCGCAGGCAAAGCACGTTTGGGAGAGTGGTCCTTCAGGCAGAGAGGGTGCCACAAATAGCACGGTATGCGTCGCAGTCGCTTGCTCCAGATATAGAACTGGCACACCGCCTTGGCGCGTCTGTCCGCGTCAGTCGCAGTAACTCAGGTATACCAGCTGAACACTGAGAATAGGATTTCTCACCAGCCTGTGCGGACTGTGCGCACTGCGTAGTCACAAGGTACCCAGCCAGTCTGGCCAGTCTGGGTGGGAAGGCAAAGCACGCGTCGACGCGATTAACGCGATCACACTTGGTCACAGGGGTTTCAGGGCAGCCTTCACCAGATAGGGCACTCCGGCGGCGCTGGGCCCAGACATCTCACTTCGGGGGGCTATTTCGAGTACTCCGCAGTGTAATTTGAGCCCATGCACCCTGAGCTGCAGGATCATCCCTACGCTATCTCGTCAATTCCCCCAGACTGGCACTCCTCTTGCCTCGACTTTCCTTGCCCGCGGCCCTCGGATCATCTCCACTGCTGAAGGGGGGAGGGTGAGAGTGCTGCGGAGCACCCTTCTAGCGTCGCCGTAGTCCACCCTCCTGCCGGCGTTGCCAGGGAAGGCAAACCTGCCTCCTCTGGCTAGACTCCACTCACCCAGGCGGCCATAGTACGCATATAGATGCACCACCGCATCTCACGACACAGCGACACTGCCCACAACCACGCTCCATGCGTCTCCTCGGTCCAGAAGAAGCGACAGAGGACCGGAAACAACACACACGCGCCTGACTTTCGAAGCCGCTCTGAGCTCCTGAACTGCTTCCCGCTGCATTGATCGCTGCCAGCGACTCGCACCAGCCGTCTCGAGCTATTTTCACACCTTCCCCCATGCACCTCAAGATCGGTGGAAATGCCATGCATTGCGATTGTTATGGAAACTGCTGACTGTATCGTACACTGATGCACCCGCTGGGTGCTCGCTACTCGCTTGATCGGTGCGCGGTTGACGCTAGTCTATAGGCCGCTCAGGACAGACTTAACCCAGGCGTTGCCGTCGAAGCGGTCCTGCCACTGCTCAACGAGCGCCTTGAGGGCAGCACGCTGCTCGTCCTCGCTTCCGTCGGCTGACTGACCCTTCCACTCGGCCAGGAACTCCTTCACAATCTGCGTACCCTGCTCGACCTCACCCTCGTCTAGCTTGGGCATCTTGGCCGCGTCGTCCTCGGTGCCAAAGTCCTCGAGCTCGTCAGCCTTGCGCTTCGCCAGCTTGACCACTGCGTCCGGGAAACGCGCCAGCTCGGCGACGTGAATACCAAAGCTCTGGTCACTGTGCCCCTCGATGACCTGGTAGAGGAGCGTGATCTGGCGGTCCGAGATGCTCTTGCCTGCCGGAGCTGGCTGGACCTCGGCCCGCACTTGCAGGTTCTTGACCCATTCCATCTGGTTCGCCATCGCGGTCAGCTCGTGGAAGTGCGTGGCGAACAGGCAGAAGGCTCGGATGTTCTTGGCGATGTGCTCGGAGATCGCCCACGCGAGACCGAAGCCGTCGTACGTGCTCGTGCCACGGCCGAGCTCGTCAATGATGATGAGCGAGTCTCGCGTAGCGCTTCGCAGAATCGTCGCGGTTTCCAGCATCTCAGCCATGAAGGTCGAAACGCCTTTGAGCTGCGAATCGCCCGCTCCCACGCGCGCAAGCACGCAGTCGAAGATCGGCAACTTGGCACTGTCGGCTGGCACAAAGCAACCGAGCTGTGCAAGGAGAGCAATGACACCCAGCTGGCGAATATACGTTGACTTGCCGCCCATGTTTGGTCCAGTCAGGATGGCGAACTCGCTGTTGCCGCGCCTCATTTCGTGGTCGTTCGCGATGAAATTGATATCGTCCTGCACTTCAAGGCAGGGGTGGCGCGCCCCGCGAACGATCACATCGGAGCCGCCCTTTTCAGCGACGGTCGGCTTAACGTAGGGGATCGGCGCATTGGCACTAACGTGCGCAAAGCTGACGAGGACATCGAGCGCCGCAATCGTGCCGTCCAGCTCCTCGAGCAGCGGGGCGTACGACGACGCGACGCCCACGACCTCCTTGATGAGATACTTTTGCTTCTTCTCGTACTCCTCCTGCAGACGGAGATACTCAGCGCTGAGCTCCTTGAGCTTCTCCGTCGTGAAGATCGTGCCCGCCTTTTGGACAGCGAGCTCGATGCACCACTGGTTTTGCCGAATCGCATTCGCCTCAGCCTTGGTGACACGGAACGAGTAGTTGTAGACCTGATTGTTCTCGAGATGCAGCTTCTTCTCAATGTCGAGGCCGAGCTTGCGTCCGACGCGGCGGTGTTCTTCGTCCAGTCCGTCGCGCGTGGCGAGAAGCGAGTCGCGGAACTGCTGCAGCTCGGGGTCCAGCGTCGGCTGCAGGTGGTAGTGGTGGTTGTGTTCGAGCTCCTCAAGATCAATCGACTCCTCGATGAGCGCCGAGTACTGCTCCAGCTGCGTCGCCTTCTCACGCAGCGGGACAATGAAATCTTCCTCGAGCACCTGGCCCTGCATACCCTCCTCCTTGGCAAGGTCGTCGAGTGAGTCAATGATCTTCGGCAGAACAGCGACAGCCTGATACACGCGCACGAGGTCCTCAAGTCCAGCTCCGCCGCGGTGGAAGCGCTTGCAGATACGGTGGAAGTCGGGCATGCGTTTCAGGTACTCGTCCTGAAGCGTGCGGCGGCGGACGCTGTCGTTGACAAACATCTCGACCATGTCCTGGCGGCGCTGGATTGCGTGGCGGTTGACGAGCGGCTGCTTCAGCCATCGACCGAGCAGACGCTGGCCCTGACTGGTCTTGCAGTGGTTCAGCAGGCCGTACAAGCTCATGTTCTTGTTACCGCCGAGTTCCGGTTGAGGCATGAGGTTGAGGGCCTTGACAGCAGAGGCGTCCAGCTTCATGAACTGAGACAGGTCGTGGCGGCGGAGATGGAACTGGCCGTGCATGGGCGTATCCATCATGAGCTCGAGATAGGAGATGAGAGCAGCGAGCGCAGACATGGCACACTTCAGGTCGTATTCCGCTGGTTGTCAGTTTATGCACATGCCATACAACTCACGCAGCGTAGCTGGGTGCGTCTCGTCGAGCAACCGCGCCATATCCTGCTCCACGCTTCCTGCCTCGAAACTCTTCGACTTCTGCTCCGTGACGATAACGCCGCACCGCTCCGCGAGAGTCCTGAGCTTGGTGAGATCGTTATTCTTCCGCTTCTCGTCCTCCTGCACGATACACTCCTTGATGCCGAGCTGGATCAGGAGACTCTCCGTGTTGCTGAAGTTATCATCGTCCTCGTACTGCGAGACACCGATCGTCTTCTCCTGAACGTCGACAAAGGCAGCGCCGACTATCCGCTGCCCTTCCTTGAGCTGGATCTTGATAGCCATGCTGACCGCATTCGCGAGCAGGTCCTCGTGGGCGAACAGGAGGTCCTCAACTTGGGACAGATTGCCAGGCGACGCCGTCTTGCCAATCTTCCAACGCGTGTGATTACGCTTGCCCGTCGAGCCGGTCTCAGGCTCCCAGATCTCGACACGCATCTGCCTCGCAGTAAGACAGTCCCGGAGGAAAGCCTTCGCCAGCGTCATGCTCACGGACACGGAGGGAAGGCCGCCGTCCTTAGCGCGGCTACTGCCCAAGTACTTTAAAACATTGTGGGTTTTGAACACCTGGTCCGCGATAAGGAGAGCGTCGGGTCCATGCGCACTGTAGTAGCCGTCGCGATCGAACAGGCGGACGAGTCCCTCCGACCGGGGAGGCATGCGTCGCTTGACAAAGTCGGCGAACTTCTCCTGCGTGTCGCCGTCTGCGCGTCAGCCACTGCCGAGGACCTCCACTCACCCATGTCGAACGACGACTTCTGCTCCGTCGTCAACTCCTTGTCGTACATCGGCTGTTCATCAGTTATACTTCGGACCCTCCTAACTGACCATCTTGGGCGACTGTCGGTGCGATGGCGGACGACGATAATGAAATTGCGGTCTGACGGTTGACTGGACTCGTAAACATTACGGACGTGTCTGGTTCACGCGTCGGGACCAAACGAAAGTGGAGGTGGCAAGTCGCCGCCCTCACAGGTCACAGGACAGGCAGTCTCGCTTCTGTGATGCGCGTCATTTCCCAATCGCCATGCTTTAACCGTCGTTCCATGCAACATTGGCATATGCAAGTGCGCCGCATTATAAACATACATGTCCAAGGTTTCGAGGACCTCATCTCCTGCCCCAGTACTGTACACCGCTATGCCTATGTTTCCTACATCTGCTCGTCCTCCTCAGCGATTTCAAACAGGTAGTTGGCGGCCAGCTCCTCGTTCTTGTCGCACGCCAGGAACGCCTGCAGCACGACCTGGCGGTCAAAGCCAAGCTGCTCAAGTCGCTCAACGGCAGCGGCCTCCTCCTGCGTCAGGTTGACGTGCATGACCTGGGCACCTCCATAGTCCTCGCCTCCGTCGTCCTCGTCACCGACGCCGAGAAGGTCGTACAGGGCCTGGGGATTCTGGTTGAGCATCTGGGCGAGTCCGGGGTTCGAAGCAGCAATCTGCTGGAGGAGCGGCTGGATGAGGGCAGGGTTCTCCTGGACTGCCTGGCGGATGCGCTGAAGCTGGGGCGAGTTGGCGAGCTCACCGAGAGACTCACCACCCGCACCGGCTCCGGCACCAGCTCCAGCAGCAGAAAGACCTCCTCCGCGATCACGATTCATGGCAGCCTCAGCGGCAGCGAAAAGGTTATCGGCACCGGCTCCACCCGACGAAGGGGCCGGGGCGGCAGCGGGCGGCGAGGCGGCGGAGGGGGCGGCGGAAGGGGTGGTAGTGGCAGCGGGAGCAGCGGCGGGCGCACGAGGAGCGGGAGCGGCTGACGGCTCAGGCTCCGGAATGTTTCCGCTCATGAGGTACTCGACCGCACGGTCGGGGTTGTTGTAGCTGGCGCGAAGAGCCTTGACGACCTGGTCGCGCTCGAAACCCATCTCGACCATGCCATCGATAGCGTTCTGGAGGGCAGCACCGGTAACTGTGGTTAGCTACAAGCCGCAGTCACTAGCCTTACGGAAAGAAGACCCAAGAGCGGTCTCAGCGGGGGCGGAGCCCTCAGCCGAAGCACCCGCGGCAGACTCGGCGGCGGCGGGAGTGGCCTTGGGCTGGGAATGTCAGTCGAGCCCTATTATCCGTGTACACAATATGACTCACCTTGGACACCATCACAACAAGGAAGTCCTTCTCCTTGATCTTGAGGTCGCCGACGGTCGCATCGTCCTTCAGAATCTTTCCTGGAATGTTAGTCTGTGCCGAACATTGATACCCACCAGAGTAGATAAGCTTCTGAAGCTCGGCGGGGAACGACTGGGCCTCCTGGATCTTCTTCTTGAGGCCGCCGATCTGCACCGTCAGCATCCTGCACGCGGCGTCGCGGCTTTAACTCACGGTCTCCGACTCATCGGCGTCAATCGAGAAGAGCTTGTTGGTCACTGTCTTGAACGTAATCTTCATCGTGGCTGGGATGAAGAAGTGGATGCAGGGGATCTGATGTGACTGGAAGGGGTCCTGTCAACGTCTCAAGCCTGATGAGACGCAAGCGTCACCACTCGAGCGTGGGAAGGCTAGGCACGTGTGATTAATCTGGGTGGCGGATGGATCTAATCCGCTGCAATACCGGTGATTAGTCAGAAGCTATTAGCAGTGGATGATTTGATATGCTCGCTCCTGTGGAAGCTGACAGCTACAGCACATAGAGAACAAGAGAGCAGCTCTCATGAACGAATCCGAGAGCTGGGGGGCAATGGGACCATCCTTGTTGCATTCGGAGCATGCCAGCGACTCTAGCAGTGGAAATATGCCCCACCTCCAGCTGCACTTAACCCCAGCAGTACTTAACTCCGCCACCGGCGTACCGGGTGAACCAAAGCTCGATCGTCGTTCGCAGCGAGCGCGATTGAGAGAACTGGACAATACTGACTCCTTGAGATAACTCTCGCAGAGCTTACGCCAGGTGAGCAGGGAGATGCAGTGCATTAAGTGAGGATTCAGCGAGAGCGACTTAAGTTCCTCAAATAACTCCTTCTCTAGAGCGCTTGAGCGAACTCGAGTGCCGTTCTTGCGCCGACATAATCAAGATCGTGTCGGCTTCAGCCCTGAGCGCTCTTGGGTAAAACTACAGTAGCTCACGGAGCGTGGGGTGGGTTGTACTAACCAATGCCATTAGTAACATTCCGTTGGCCCCCACCAAGGCGTGTGCTTCACGACTCGAAGGGCCGAGACCAGCGGCATTACCACCAGTGGTATCGGCGGATCATTGTAAGGAAGCTTCTAAGGGCAGTACCGAGTATCTCCAAGCCTCAGGTCAGGCCATAGACTGACAAGAGGTAGAAAGACAGACGAGAGGGCATAGCGGACTGTCAGTTAACCTGGTGCTGGCTGCGGCCATTATGAAACAGAGCTCTCGGCCTTCAAGATAAGACGTAGCTCGGTGTGATCGGGGCAGCATCTCGGTGAGGCTGCAGCGCCGATCGCAGGGTCATGTACGGAGGAGCAACCAGGAACGCCTTTAGCACGTGGAGGTATGTGGTGCCATAACGCCGCGAAACGCCGTCCACCCAGCGTCAGCCAAACTTCGAGCCGCTCAGCGTACGAGGGGGACGGAACCAAAAATCTGGGCGAGGTGTCAGGAAACTGCAGCAGCAGCAGCGGGTCGTGGGTCTGTTGAGTCTTTGGCAGCTGGTTGCTTGAACGTTTCTACCACCCATCAAAAAAACAGCGACAATGAGCTCCTCCCTCAAGATCCGCGCCAGCGAGCTCCAGTCCAAGAACAAGGAGGCTCTTATGGAGCAGCTCACCGAGCTCCGCACTGAGCTCACCTCGCTCCGCGTCCAGAAGGCTGTCGGTGGCTCTGCTTCCAAGCTCACCAAGATGTGCGTATCGATCGACACTTGCACGACTTTCGAACCGAGACCGCGACGAAGACGAAGAACAGGCGGACCAGACGTCGTGAAAGATGTTGGAGGTGTTGGAGGAAGAGGCAGAGATGCGTTCGGATGGACTGCAAGTCGGAGCGCTGGAAGGTCTGGTCTTGCGTTTGGTCGGGTCGAAGTTCGGAAGTCATGCAACGTCGAGCTCTATCGCGCCTAGTCCTAGCTAACCCCTCAGCAACACTGTCCGCAAGTCGATCGCCCGTGTCCTTACCGTCGTCAACCAGAAGCAGCGCCAGAACCTCCGCGAGTTTTACAAGAAGTCGAAGTACATCCCCCTCGACCTCCGTTACAAGAAGACTCGCGCCATCCGTCGCCGTCTCACCGAGAAGGAGAAGAACGCCAAGACCGTCAAGGCCCAGAAGAAGGCCATCCACTTCCCCCAGAGGAGTGAGTTGATCCGGGCTGGAGGAAGGGCATGGACGGCGGGGAAGGGATAGGACGAGGGCTGGCAAGCTGTACCATGGGACGTCGAGCGCTCGTGTGCAGCGCGTGGCTCTTCGCTGCACAGCGCTGTGGGCTGCTGTCGTCGCTGAAGGTCGCGATGCTGCGAGTGCACCAATGTGCAGTGCAGTCCACAGCGCGAATTTGCCCGCCCTATCCTGCCCCTCACCCCTCGTACCCTGGTCCCTTTCACCTGCGCAAGCTACCAGGCCTGGGACACTTAGCTGACATTCCACAGAGTACGCTCTTAAGGCTTAAATGTTCTCTTCTTCGGTTAGGGGATGCATGAGTGTACTACCATCGCATGTATAGATGGGCGGATCTACATCGGATGCAGCTTTAGGTCGGCTCGCAGCTATATCTTGGACACACTGATCACGCGAGCGAGTGAGCGAACGAGTGAGCGAACGAGGGCGAGCAGCCAGAGAGAGGCGAGCACAGGTGCCAGGGGGCGAGAGTGGGGCAGCATGAGCGAAGCGCAAGTGAAGTGAAGGGCTTGTGAGACGCAGTGAGACGCTATTGTCGCCGAGGTGCCCTTGCCATGATGTGGTCCTGATGACGTGAGGAAGGACTCGGGGTCACGAGAAGAACTGAGTGCATGCCTGGAGACAAGTCGCCTGCGCCAGGGAGCAGGCAGCAACGACGCGCGCAGTCGCTCCAGCCTGGGACGCGCCTGTTCGTTAGCTATCGACTTACCGAGACGAGGAAGCAGGGGAAAAGGGATTGCTCGTGACTCAGCCAAAGGGGAGGGAGAGTGGGTGGTAGCCCGAGACGGTTGTGGAGAAGAGTCCGTAGCTTGAGGCAGGGGACAGAGTCCAGGTGGGCCCCCAGCTCCAGGCAACGGGAAGTCGTGACTCACCGATAACGCCAGTGACGTGCGCGCAGCAATGGGCGTAGGCGCCGTTACATGCTCCAGTGCAGGTTTCGTGGTACAGGCTCGAGGCTGAGGCAGGGTGTGCGAGTGCAAGCAGGGCGAGCGTAGCGAGTCCAGTGAGCCCAGTAAGAGTGGGGAGGGCCGAGAGCGCGGACTGGCGGAGAGAGGTGAGGCGCATACTCATGTTGTGCGACTTGAGGAGGTCGTTGTGCAAAGTTGAAGAGTGAGGGAGTGAGTTGAGGCTATCGCTCGAAGCTAGAGACGGGGGAGTGAGTAGAGGCTGTTGGGGTGTGGAGGAACCAGCGGAGGGGGAAGGGAGTGCATGGAGGAGAAAGGAAGGGGCATAGACCGGATCGCGCGTCTTTGTATACGCCCAAGGGGGTGTGGTGAGAGTGTGGTGAGCTGGGATGAGGTGATGAGGAGAGCAGACGAGGGGCGGTACCGAACGATGACACTGTCGCTTCGTCTCGTCAGCTTGTCAGCTCGCCAGCTCGTCAGCCACGCCTTGGCTGCACGGCACCTGCCGACGGGCTCTATACAATGCAGGTTGATGCATATGTGATAGCTGTGCACACCAGGCCAAGGCGAGCATACGTGCGAAGGACCGAGTGACAGGCGGAAAAGATGCTATTCAAGGTGGGGAGGCGGTGCAGAATAGAGAGATTGTATAGAGAGACAAGGTAGTGAACACCAGGCTGAGGAGCTTGAATCGCAGCTTTGTGGAGCTTGAGTGTGTATCAGTAGCCCGTGAGGCAATACATCTGGGTATCAGCTCCAGTTTCTGTGCACCTTAGCTATGGGCTGTGCCCTAAGGTTGCACTCCGTTCACGGATAGTAGGTACAAATGTCCAGAAAGAAAGTCGTACACTCTCATTGGAGAGCTGAATGTCCCCGCTTGCCACTATAGAGGAGGGAAAAGCCTTGCTGGTGTGGAGAGCCGAGAAGAGGTGGTTAGTGAGTGCGGTTGCGTTGCGAGACTACACACGTCAGTGATGCTGCAAGATAGTGATGGTGGGGTGAATGGGCCACGGTGACATGAGAACTACCTTGAGGTTATATACCTCTGAGTGCATGGGGCATAGTGGGTGCTAGCCTAGCGCCGTAGCGGAGAATGTGAAGTAGGTAGGAGAGACAGTTTGATCGGCAGGGAGCGCAGATACCACCGCCATAAGTGCCCTTGGAGTGCATCAAGCGACACTGGGGTGGCAGTTGCTGCACCTACACCCGCATGCAATACCAGCTTCCGATGCTGGTTTTCGTGCACAACGAGAATGCATGCGTGTAGGCGTAAAGGGCGGGGAAAGAGACAGGCAGAGGGGGCTGAACGATTCGGCTTCGATGCAGCGGAAACAGTGCCACATCCGGCACGATCGCCACACGTTTCGCTTCACACCCCCTCACGTCCCACATCTCAACTCCCAAACCACGACCGTTCCCCAATACACGCAAAACCAAAAATGCATGACTGGTGGTACAACAAAAGATGCAATGTGTTACTCTATTAGGTCTATGCTCACTCCCAGTCCATGTCCACGTCCATACCCTGGCTGTCAGGTGACGTGCCTCTCGCCTCCGTGTCTGACGTCTGAGACTCATCGCCGCCGTCAGACACGAGGTCGAGCGAGTCCATCGAATCTCGCGAGTCGTCCGACTCCTCGCCACGCACATCTGCCAGGTCCGCAACGGAGGCGTTCCGTGAAGTACTGGTCAGCTCTGACAGACCAGTCAGCCGTGCGAGATTGCCAAGACCCATGCCTGCCCGCCCGAGGTTCAGGCCCGAGCCGAGGTCGTCGACTGCGTCCAGTGACATCGCCCCAAAGCTCCGTGCTGTGTCTTGGTCGGGAGGGCTGTCGGCACGACTGCGCGAGCGCGAACGCGGGCTGCTGTAGCCCCGGAACGAATCCTCGGACAACAGGTCGAGGGGTAGTGGATGCTGGCGCGGGGAGGGCGACAGCATGTCGATCGACAGCGCGCGCGAACGTCCGCCGAACGAACTTGACCCCGGGGACAGGACAGCGCTCCTGTTGAGCAGCGAAGGGTTATCGATCTGATGTCAGCTTTTGTTCTCCTGTGGACTGCAGCTTACCAAGTCGATGAAGCCCTTTGCAACCGTGTGCGACGGATCCACTTGGAGCGCATTGCCAAAGTGATACCGCGCCTTCTGCAGCTTCGACTCATCCGGAGGTTCGTCTGTTGTCAGCTTTGGATGGACTGCAGACGGCTCACTATCCTCGATATCACTGCTCGAGCTCGAGCTCCCTCGCCTCCTCGAGGTTTCCAATCCGGCGTCGGAGCTCGGACCACCGCGCGCCTCGCGACGCTTGGACTCGGGCTGCGCGAGCCAGAAGCTGATAAGCCCTGCAAAACAATGCAGCGAGGCATACTTGTTGTAAGGAGCGTCCACCAGATAGCTGAGGTCAGCGCGCGCACGGAGACCGAGGCACTCACGTCTCGAGCTCATTCAATGCGGGCTCGTATCGTCCCGTGTAAACAAGATGCTGAGCCAGCTCTTCCAGAACCGCGGGTTTCTGATGTCAGCTATTGGGGGATTACCAAGCGTACTTCGGCAGGCTTGACCTGAAGTCGAAGCTTTGTCAGGTAGTCTGTTGCGCTATCTTGGCCGCGCCGTGACAGCGACTCGCCACCCTCTGTGGTAGGCTGCCTGCCCTCGGCATCGCGCGTGAGGAGGAAGAGACCCCATCCCCATCGTTGCTTCCAGTCAATGTCTGGGCAACGTACCTGATGTCAGCTACGAGACCAATTAGCGAGCTCATGTCCGGCGTGGGGATTGTTGAGGACAGACTCACGAGAATGGCCCAAGCTCTGCGTGCCTTGTCGTAGAGGCCGCGGAGGATACAGATGTGAACGCAATCAACGAGGTTTTGGAGGTAGGCACCGCGAACGGACGTCGGTTGTCGTTCTGTGTTGCCGGGCCGAACGGGAAACTTGTAACGATGGACCGCGGGCATGGTATAGGGGGACCCGAGGGACCTGGGCGGGTCTCGGGGCAGAATCAGAGGAAGAGGTGGGTGCTCGATGGCGAAAGGTAGCTCGGTAGCATGGCTCGCGCGTCAAGTTGTGCTCGAGGAAGACGAGAAGAAGGGTGTGGTACGTGTGGTGGATGCGCGAGGGAAGGCGCAATCCGGAAATTGTGGCTATGACAGCATCGAAGCGCATGCAGCGCACAGAGGCGGCGCGGTCACATTGCAGGTCTGAAACCCGTGGTGGAGGCCGGTGGAGGAGGGGAGGGGATGCTCACGTGACAGACGCGTCGGTGGATTAATTGGCAAAAACGTGTGGCCGAAAATTTAAATGTCAAGTTTTTGTGAGGCATTGAGGGGGGCCAGCGATGCGTGTGTGTGACTGCAGCCAGCGGAGACTCTGCCCAGCGTGCGGCCCGCCCGCGCGCCAGGCTCAGGCCGTCCGCCTGCCTGGCCCCCCCCGTCCCCTGCGCCAGTCGGTCCCATCCACTTTCACCGCTCTAATCCTTTCCTCTTTTCTTCTCCTCCCCACCTTCGGGTACATCGTTCAACTACCACCAAAAACCACCCCCCAAAAACGCGCCGTTCGCTTCGTCTCTCACGACCAAGCGACAACACCAAAAACTAAAAAACACCGCAATCATGGCTGAGTGAGTAGGCCTGCTTTTCCATCACGGTAGCGCCAGCAAAATCAGTCAGCCAACCAGTCGCCAAACTTTCAATCAAATTATCGTGCGAGCCAAGACGTCACTTGCCTGCCTCCATTGTTCCCTACCGACTGTCGACGACGGGACTCTGGATCACTCACAGGCATTGTCGGGCTTGCACGAATGATTGAGAGCGGATCCTGCGACGCAGTCCTGATGCGTGCGCTCGTGCGACAGACACAGGGTTGCAGCAGGACGCATCCGCGGCGGATGCTGACTGATGGTCGACTGGTGCTTGAAAAATTGCCACCCATGGAACGCAACACACAACACGAACGGCATGCTGACGTTCAACAGGACTAACCTTGAGCTCGCTGGCGAGCAGATCGAGTCCAACTGGGACAAGGTCACCGACAAGTGAGTGCACCCAGCGGCAGTCCCGTGCCCTCACAGGGTCTGAACGTATCTAACACCCTTAGCTTCGACGACATGGAGCTCAAGCCCGAGCTTCTCCGTGGTGTCTACGCCTACGGTTTCGAGCGTCCCTCCGCTATCCAGCAGCGCGCCATCATGCCCATCATCACTGGCCGTGACGTTATCGCCCAGGCCCAGTCCGGAACTGGAAAGACCGCTACCTTCTCCATCTCCATTCTCCAGCGCGTGAGTATTATCGATGATGGGCAGTCGTCTTGTGATCTGAACAATAAACTGACAATCGCCAGATTGACACCACCGTCAAGAAGACCCAGGCTCTTATCCTCGCCCCCACCCGTGAGCTCGCCCAGCAGATCCAGAAGGTCGTCATCGCCCTTGGTGACTACCTCAACATCGACTGCCACGCCTGTGTTGGTGGAACCGCCATCCGTGAGGACATTGCCAAGCTCAACGAGGGCCCCCACGTCGTTGTCGGTACCCCTGGCCGTGTCTTCGACATGATCAACCGTGGTGCCCTCCGCGCCGACTCCGTCAAGATGTTCTGTCTCGACGAGGCCGACGAGATGCTCTCCACCGGCTTCAAGGACGCCATCTACGACATCTTCCAGCTCCTCCCCGCTGAGACCCAGGTCGTCCTCCTCTCGGCTACCATGCCCCAGGACGTCCTTGAGGTCACCAAGAAGTTCATGCGTGACCCCATCCGTATTCTCGTCAAGCGTGACGAGCTTACCCTTGAGGGTATCCGTCAGTTCTTCGTCGCCGTCGAGAAGGAGGAGTGGAAGCTCGACACCCTTTGCGACCTGTACGAGACCGTCACCATCACCCAGGCCGTCATCTTCTGCTCGACCCGCCGCAAGGTCGACTGGCTCACTCAGAAGCTCCACGAGCGCGAGTTCACCGTCTCTGCCATGCACGGTGACATGGACCAGAACCAGCGTGAGGTCATCATGAAGGAGTTCCGTTCCGGCTCTTCGCGTGTCCTGATCGCCACCGACCTCCTCGCCCGTGGTATCGACGTCCAGCAGGTTTCGCTCGTCATCAACTACGACCTCCCCGCCTCCAAGGAGAACTACATCCACCGTATCGGTCGTGGTGGTCGTTTCGGTCGTAAGGGTGTCGCCATCAACTTCGTCACCACCGAGGACGTCAAGATGATGCGCGAGATTGAGACCTTCTACAACACCCAGATCGACGAGATGCCCCTCAACGTCGCCGACCTTATCTAAGCGCCATAATCCAGTCTTGGTCCTTACCTTGTATCTCACCTACCCGTCTCTCTGTACCTCCCCCCATCACCCTCCCACACTCCCCCCTATCCAACTCCCACCCCCTAAAAGTATGCCTCGATTGTCGTCGGCGCTGCGACTCTGAGGCTTGTTTAAGCATCTCTGTGGCACGTTGACATCGTTTAGAGGCTTCGTCCGTGTCCTCTTATGTTTAGAGTCGGTCGGAGAGATGACGATGCCACAACAATGACCTTATATCCTAGTTGATGCACTTTAGAATTTCACCATACCACCTGAGACGGACTAACGAGTAGTTACGAGTGCATGGAGCAGACAGCGACGAGTCAGACAGATGAGCAGTGGTGGTATAATGCATACAATGAGGTGATCTAATCTAAACCAAACGCTTGTCTCCGTGGGCCCACGCGAACGGGTCCTGGTTGTTGTTGGGGAGGCTGGAGAGCACCGGGCTGTCGGCAACGTTGGCCCTGGGCTGAACGGGGAGCTTGCGGCCCAGACGCTCCTCACGCATTCGGTGCAGCTCGTCGTGCAGGTCGGATGAGTTCTTGGGTGGTTTCTAATCTGTCAGGTGGAGCGCGTTCCCCTACTCACGTTGGTGTTCTCGTATGCCGGCCAGAGCTTCTCCTTGTACTGCATGTTAGCTTGCCATACCCTTTCCAGCTATCTCCAAACATACGGGCTGAACGTGGTTCTCATACCTGTCATTAGTTGGTTACGAGAGCCGCCCAACTCACCAGTTTGGGTCACCGAAATGGAGCATGGCAAAGAGTGGGATGAAAAGGTAGGTAGCGAACTTGAAAACCTCGACTACAATGTCAGTCATGATCGCACGTCTTGTCGCTCACGATTGGCGCCCATGGTGAATGCTAGTAAAATGTAAGAGTTCAGCACCAGCGATGGAGCAAAGAGTACCCCGAGTCTTGCAGCGAGCCCTGCTGCCGTTCGGAATCTCGTGCAGACTCGGACCCTACTGCTTCAGTTGTCGAACATTACCAAGCAGAGAGCCTTATTTGCTCCCGTCCTGACCGGTTCCTGGCGGAGGCTGAGTGGACTTGTCGCCACAGCACCATACCGCACCACAATAGCTGCCATCTGTGAAGGTCGCATCTCTCAACTTCTTCCTCGTCACCGGTCTTCACCATGTCGCGGTCCGCCTCGCCCGCGTCCTCTCTCGAGTTCATGTCCTCGGACATGTCCGACTCCGAGGACGACTTCCGCCCTCAGCAGCGGAAGCGAGCGCCCGCGCCCAAGAAGGCGGCGCCGATCAAGATCAATCTCTCAGCGCTGCAGCGGGCGCGCAACGTCGCCACTGCGCACCCGGCGGACGACCAGGACTACGATGAAGAGATTCCGAGGGGAGGCGGCGGCGGATTTCTGGACAGCCTGATGGGCGGGCGTGCAATCGATCTCAGCCACGAGCACCTGAAGGCTGATCATGCGAACCGTCCTCTGTGGATCGATGAGGGTGGCAACATCATTCTCGAGGCGTTTGCTCACCTCGCACCCCAGGCGCAAGACTTCCTTGTCGCCATTGCTGAGCCTGTGTCCCGGCCAAGCCTCATTCACGAGTATCGCATCACGAAGCCGAGTCTGCACGCTGCCATGAGTGTGGGTCTCGAGACGGACGACATTATCGGTGTACTGTCCCGCTTGAGCAAGATCCCGCTGCCCGAATCGCTCGTCGAGCAGATCCGCGACTGGACTAGCTCGTACGGCAAGATCAAGCTCGTCCTGAAGCACAACCGTTACTGGCTCGAGAGCAGTGTTCCGGCGTACCTGCAGACGCTGCTGAAGGATGAGGTCATCAAGACGTGCCGCGTGCACCGAGACGAGCAGGAGGGCGAGGTCACGTTTGGCGTCGAGCAGAGCGCCAGGCCGAAGCGCGACTTTGCCATCCCCGGTACCGAAGCGGCAGCGCGCGCAGCCCGCGGCGAGACCAACACGGAGCCACAGCGCGACTCGGAGGCGGACGATATGCTCGGCGCCGTGATCGGGATCAATGAGACCGACGACCTGGACGAGGACGACGCGGTGCAGTCGTTTGAGGTCGCAGGTGACCGCATGGAGGACGTCCGCCGCCGGTGCAAGGACATCGACCTGCCCGCGCTCGAGGAATACGACTTCCGTAACGACCACATCAATCCCGACCTCGATATCCAGCTGAAGCCCATGACGGTCATTCGCCCGTATCAGGAGACGTCGCTGTCCAAGATGTTTGGAAACGGTCGTGCGCGTTCCGGTATCATTGTGCTGCCGTGCGGTGCCGGCAAGACGCTCGTCGGTATTACTGCCGCGTGCACGATCAGGAAGAGCGCGCTCGTGCTGTGTACGTCGGCTGTGTCCGTCGCGCAGTGGAAGCAGCAGTTCCTTCAGTTCTCGAACATCTCCGAGCGCCAGATCTGCGCGTTCACGCAGGGAGAGAAGGAGATCTTCCAGGGCCCTTCTGGTATCGTCATCTCGACTTACTCCATGATTGCGAAGACGGGCAAGCGCGCGCACGACGCCGAGAAGGTCATGAACTGGCTGCGATCGCGCGAGTGGGGTTTCCTGCTGCTCGACGAGGTGCACGTCGCCCCTGCAGCGCTGTTCCGAAAGTGCGTCTCCAGCTTCAAGGTGCACACCAAGCTGGGTCTCACGGCGACTCTTGTGCGCGAGGACGACAAGATTGGCGACCTCAGCTACCTGATCGGACCTAAGCTTTACGAGGCGAACTGGATGGATCTGGCCAAGAACGGTCACATTGCGACCGTGCAGTGTGCCGAGGTTTGGTGTCCCATGACACCCGAGTTCTACCGCGAGTACCTGCGCAACCCGTCGCGCAAGCGCATCCTCCTCCACGCCATGAACCCGAACAAGATGCAGGCGTGCCAGTTCCTGATCAAGTACCATGAGGACCGCGGGGACAAGATCATCGTGTTCAGCGACAACATCTACGCGCTCGAGGCGTACGCGACCCGTCTCGGTAAGCCGTTCATCCACGGCGGCACGCCCGAGGGTGAGCGCCTTCGCATTCTCTCGTGGTTCCAGCACAACCCAAAGCTGAACACGATCTTCCTCTCGTCGGTGGGAGACACCTCGATCGACCTGCCCGAGGCCACCTGTCTGATCCAGGTCTCGTCGCACTTCGGCTCTCGTCGACAGGAGGCGCAGCGACTTGGCCGTATTCTCCGCGCGAAGCGTCGTAACGATGAAGGCTTCAACGCATTCTTCTACTCGCTCGTCTCAAAGGACACGCAGGAGATGTACTACTCGTCGAAGCGGCAGGGGTTCCTCATCGACCAGGGCTATGCGTTCAAGGTCATCACAGAGCTGCACGGTATCGACAAGATGGACGGGCTCCTGTTCGCGAACAAAAATGACCAGATCGGTCTCCTCGAGGAGATCCTGAACACGGGTTCCGACGCGTGGGAGACACAGAACCACTACATGCGCCTCAACAACGGGAAGCACCACAAGGGTACCTCGTCTCAGACACCCTACGCTGCTCCGCCATCAGCGAGCGTGCAGCGGTTCCAGGCGCCCCTCGAGGATCTCTCGGGAGGCAAGAACATCAGTTACCGCGAACAGAACAAGAGTGCCAAGTACGTATTTTGCAGCTGGAATAATGGAGGCAGAGCTGACATCGCCAGCAAGGAACTCAACCGCGAAGAGCGCCAACTCAAGAAACAGAAGGTGTCCCAGAACCAAGGTACGGGCCAGGCTGCCATCTTCCGCAAGCGTGCCAAGGAACTCGCTATGGCGAAGAAGCGGATGTCAGAGTTCTAAGGGGCGATTCGTTCCGGGGCCGTCTGGTGCGAAGCGCCGGCCGACGCTCGAACGAGCCGCGCCGGCCGGTTATCGGCCGGTTGTCCGTGTGCTTTGGAGGCGACATCGACAGGCCGGGATCGGTCATCTGAGAAGTCCCTCGTTTCGATAGCTGTTCATTCAGGAGGAGGAGCGCGGGAAGGAGGTAGAAAAGCGCCAATCTGGCGTTGTAGCATCATCACACCAAAACATAAAACGAAGCAATCTTAAAACTAGCATAGATATGTATCCACTGTACGAATATGAGTATCTCTCACCTCCGCGACGTGTGCATCTGCATTACTACCCGCCTTCCACGAAATTGTGTAGCCTTGGCCGTCGCGTGGTGGTTGGGGATGAAAGCAGCCATGGGGTGGTACAGTATAGGCAGATCGCGGCAGAGGTGGCAAAAGAGGGGGATTCTCCCGGTACTGGCCCCTCAGAGGGGGCGGTGAGCGAGCACCGACTTCGGGGAGGATCATAACTCTTCAACCAACGCCTGTCTGCAGCCAGGCGTCCTCTTGGAGACCTGCGGGGAAGGGTGGGCTATGAGGCGGGTGTGGGAGGCGAGGGGCGCGAAAGAGGAGTCGCACACGAGGAAGCACACAGGTACGCAAGTGTGTGGATGTGCCTGCTCCTGGTCCCTGCCCGCGAGATCAATACTGAGAGTTGGCTTCAGAATGAGTAAAGCAGGTCCCGGGAAGCATGGTCGAGCTAGAGGCTCATCAGGGTTAGGTGGGCGAGTAGTCGAGGCTAACCACTCGCCATGTGTTCGCGGCCACTGGCACCTCTGGTTCCTCCACGAAGATAGCAAGGAAAAAAAGATCTCCACGCATGCATCCTCCCAGCGCGCTCTCAGCGTCTGGTCGCCAAAAAGCCAAAAGAAGGGGACCTCTTTTACGCGCCGGCCTCGTGGCCGAACGCAACCTCGTACTCTGCGCCAACTCGGGGTCTCGGGACCCGCGAGGGCGCGCATTTCCACAGGTGTCCCCTGCGACTGCACCACCCGATGGTGTGTGACAGCCGCTTCTTGTGGGCTGCGCCGGTCCGGCTGCCTATAAGCTGCTTGGGCGCTGGATGGGAGTGCGAAAAGACGGGGAGGCACACACACAAGGTGACAAAAGAGGAGGGTCCGTCCCGTTACTGGACCCCGTGAGGGGGACGGCGCGAACCATTCTTCGAGGACAGACATAACTCCTGTGCCATCGAGTCTGCAGCCTCGACGGTGTTGCTTGCTGAATCGGAGGGTGGTTATATCTTGTTGAGACAGGTCAATTGCGTCCCAAGCTCGAGCATCTCAGTCAGTACGCGGTCAGCAAGCACGGTAGTCAACATGCGGGTCAGTAATGTCATGTAAGCATGCATCGCTGCATTGCCAAAAGAAGCCATTGATGCATGCCCCGCTGTCAGTGACCCATCATTGCATGCAAAAAGGTGTTTCCCACTTACTGTCCCCGGCCCGGGGGCGGCATGACCCGTCATTCAGTGAGCCCGTTACTGGCCCCTTGCGGGGACGGCTGGCCGGCCGACTTCGAGGCTTGGAAACTCCTGCACCAAGGTGCTGTTGGATGTGGTCAGCTCGGCTTTGCCATGGCGCTGTGTCCTGGAGACCCCTCCGGCCTTATGTGAGCGATGAAGGAGGTCTGGAGGGGTCATCTGTCACCGTAGAGGTACGACTGGACCTCCTGATCCCCTCCCAGGACGTCAGACCGCACTCCGGGCGCCGAAAGCTCTCCCTGTGCTGCTGAGAGCATGTGAGAGGGAAATCGAACGCTGGAGCTCACGGTCTGCGCGGGGCGAGCGGGGAGGAGTCGCACCGATGCACACGGCGTGCGAAGAGAGGTGTGTGTGCATGTCCGAGAGTCGTGAGCGAGCGTCGACAGCCGAGTGGACCAGGAAGGTGGAGGTGTGATAGCGGTGGCAAATATTGACGTGTAGTTTGAACCCGCACCTCCACTGCCGTCAGTGGATTTTGGAGGCGCGGCGAGGTCCACTGTCATAATCACGGCTTCGGTGAATATCCAGCTACAGCATCTTCGCGTGCAACGCATCTACGACAACACAGAGGACAGCAAGGAACACGAATTTGTACTCTTTTACATCTACTAGAACGAACAACTGAAAGATTCGCCCAGCATGGTGGTGAGTAGACGCCTGACTTCCTCCGAGCTCCAATTGTTGACGCATCGCAGAAGATTAAGATGATTTCGCGGTCGCTCGATGACCACCTTCCCTCCTCGTCGACGGCGCCGCATCCGCTGCAGCGCAACCTTGCGCCGCACATGCACCCCTTCGCCAAGCCGAGGGAGTACACGCGTGCGCTGAACGCGGCCAAGATTGACCGCATGTTCGCCAAGCCCTTCGTCTCGGCGCTCGGCGGACACCAGGACGGCGTGTACGTTCTCGGCGCGGACCCTCGACGAGCCTCGGTTGTTGCTGCCGGTGGCGGTGATGGTGAGGTTATCGTGCACTCGCTCTCGCAGCGCCGCGCGCTCCTCAAGCTCGACGCCCACAAGGGCATGGTCGGTGGTCTCTGCTGGACGGCCGAGGCGCGAGACGGCAAGCGCGGCCTGATCACTGCGGGCAAGCTCGACGGACAGATCAAGATTTGGCGCTCGCAAGCGTTTGCTCCTGGAATGACGGTCGAGGAGGAGGAAGAGGAGAGCATGCTTGACTCGGCTGGCGCTGTCGGCGAGGACGGGTTTGACGAGGACGACCTCGCGATGGACGACAAGGCGACGACGCGCGGACAAAACCTCGAGCCATCGCTCGTCATCAACTCGAAGAATGGCTTCAACTCGCTCGACCATCACCGCTCCGATGGCGTGTTCGCGACGGCGAGCTCGTGCGTTCAGATCTGGGACGAGACCCGCACGGCGCCTCTGTCCACGCTCTCCTTCGGCGGCAGCATGGAGACCGTCGCCTGCGTCCGCTTCAATCAGAGCGAGACGTCCGTTCTTGCCTCTGTCGGCAACGAGCGCACCATGTGTCTCTACGACGTTCGCACCGGCAAGGCCGAACGCCGCATCGTCATGAACATGCGCAGCAACCAGCTCTCCTGGTGCCCTACCCTCCCCACTGTCATGCTCCTCGCCAGCGAGGACCACAACCTCTACACCTACGACCTCAGGAACCTCGAGCGCCCGACGCAGATTTACAAGGGTCACGTCGGCGGTGTCATGGGCTGCGACTGGAGTAAGTTTCGTGACCTGCTCACCGGACACTGTCAATATGAGCTAACCCACAGGCCCTACCGGAGAAGGATTCGTCTCAGGAAGTTACGACCGCACCGTCCGACTCTGGGACCGCGATGCCGGCAAGAGCCGCGACGTGTACCACACGAAGCGCATGCAGCGGTGAGTACTGATGAGAGGGGTGGCTGTGAGCGGTCAGATTGGACTCGGGCTTCCAGGAAAGTGGAGGAGGAACCACCATTATCCTCTGCAATGGCGAGCATGGTCATGTTGTTCCAGGCAAGGACGGCTTATCGGATTACGGACTTGCTCCCGAATCCAGAAGAACATGCGCTAGGTTAATGATCCCCCCATGTTTCACCCTCGTCACCCTTTGGTGCTCAGACCGACGACGAAAAGGAGGAAGGGTCAACGCTCACCGCGTTACTCGGTGCTCGTCACCCTTCCTCACCCATCGCATTTGAGAAGCATTGGCTGACCACGTAGCATCTTCGATGTCACCTACACCCCGACGGCCGACTTCGTCCTCTCCGCGAGTGACGACGGCAACGTCCGTGTGTGGAAGAACAACGCGAGCCAAAAGCTCGGTGTTGTTTCCGGCAAGGAGCGCGCAGCGATGGAGTACCGCCAGAAGCTTGTCGAGCAGTGGAAGTCAGACACGACTGTGCGCCGTATCGCGGAGCGCAGGCATATGCCGCAAAGCGTGCATTCGGCTGTCAAGCTCAAGCGCGAGATGCTCGAGGCGCGCAAGGTCAAGGAGGACAGGAGGAGGAAGCACACCAAGGCCGGCCGGGAGAAGCCCAAGCCGGAGAGAAAGAGTGAGTTCGACACGGAGCAGGCATGGAGTGGCAATCGGCAGTTTTCTGGACGTCAATCGGCTTCTAGACCAGCCGCGACTCTTCACATCCCTGTATTTGATAGGAGCGACTCCCTTCCCAAGCGCGGGATACTGCAAGGTTACCAGTCCTCTTCGCACTCGGCGTGGGAGGGGTGGCGTACGGGACCTGCGGTGGCGGCGCCAAGGCAGAAAAGGGCAAATTTGCTGACAACCAACAGAGGCTCTCATCACCGAGCAGAGATAATCTGCTTTCTCTCGCTCGACATTCCTTCCGCCATATCGCTCATATCGCGCGCTCGCCATTCGCCGTTTTCCTGTTGTACATTGCATGCCATAATCATCAAACCGACCTCTGCCCTGACGTTTCCAGTAGTGCGCTGATTCCCCTACAATCTGACAATCGGACAAATGGTCCTCGACTCCTCAGAGTGATCGTCGCCGTTACCGATAATCGAGCGCGCTCGTTGCCAAGGCCCCGTCGTCGCAATGTATCACTCATCGGGTAACTGGACCAGCGAACATTTCATACATCCCGACGCCCGGGGACGTTGCCCGACGGATCAAGCTGGCGCAGCCTGGCGAGCGTGGAGCGCGGCCTGTGCGGAGGCTGGGCACAGCGCTATTGTTCGGATGATGGCTCTTCGACACTGGCTCGCGACAGGTACGCCGCACGCACATGCGCACATGCGTTCTGCGCGCTCAAGCCTTGTTTTGTTTGCGGTGTCCGTGTCCTGTCTACCGACCGACAAACAACAGAGACGCAGACAACACAGGACGCGGCGGGTGGAAGGCCCCGACGTCTGCACGCGCCTTGTGCATGCGACGCAACACCCTTTTGGTCCTTTCGTCACACTACGGCTGGTGCTTCTGGGCTGCCTGGCAGGTTTTCACTGGAGCTCAGACACCTTGCTGTCCCCCTTTACCAACCGGTCACCCTTTCCTTTGCTCTCGAGGTTTCGCGCTCCGGCGCTCAGGCCAGGTATACATGCTCACAGCAGACTAGCAGCACTCGACTTCCGAAAGAAAACATTCGCGCCTCAGCCCAGCCCAGCCCAACCCGAGTGTCCGATCCAGTATCCTGGGGCGTGTTTTGTTTTGCTCCTTCACCATCCCCTCCCCCTCCTTTCCTCTTTTCCTGTCTCGTTTGACTCACCGCAAACATCGAAACGAACTGTTGACTGACAATTCCCCTTCTCCATCTATCACCACCTGTACTTCCACTACCAGCCTCCAACATTCGACATATTCCAGACTCTCAACCTGTACCTAACCCGCTTGTACACTACAATTCGAGGAAGAGAAGTGGCCAATGTCATCACCGCCGCCGCTGTCGCCCGCTCCGCGGCGGTGGCGCGCCGACCGCTCACTCGTCGACCGCCTGAACCAACTTGCAGAGGGCAGCCCGTCGGGAGAGCAAAAGGACGTTGACGAAGTCGATGCTCTCCTGTCCCCAACACCTATGCGACCTCCGACGCGCCCAGCCTCGGCTCCGAAACGGCACGACAGCACGCGCTCTACCGCTTCTGCCCGCTCCGTTGCCTCCAGTCTGCGCAGCACTCGATCCAGCGCCACGCTGCGATTGAAGCAGCAACCGACAGGCGAGAGCTTTGCGCGAGCGTACGACGACCTCTACGCGTCTCTGGACGCGCTCGCCAACCCGTTCGATGCAGCCCCCCACAAAGCAGCCACTCCCGTGGCGACGCCTAAGGCAATCGAACCACCGCAATCAGCAAGAACGCCGAAATCAAGCACGCCCGTACCGCAAAGGGCGGCAGCAGAGTCGAAAGCGGAAGGTGGCAGTCACGAAAGTTACCCCACGACACCAGCAGGACTTGGAGGGCATGGGCTGGGCATCCGTCTGGGTACCGGTGATGTGGGCGAGAGATCACTCTTCGGCATGTCAACGTCGGCGAATGTGTCTGACGCCGCGACCGTCGCCCGTAGCTTCCCACTGCCGCCATCGCCTCATAAGAGCCCAGCAATGAGCCCAACGGTGAACTCGCCGGTGTCGCCCGCTCCGTCGAAGCGTGGCGCTGGAGGTCTTGCCTCCCCTCTTTCCGTCTCCAGCCTGGCAGGCAGCTTCCAGACTGCTCTGTCCGCGCACTCGCCGATGAAGCCCTCCCCTGCCGCCCCCTCGCTGTACTCTCGGACTTCTTCTGAGGCTCCGTCAGTCCCCAGCAAGTCTCCCAGCAAGTCCCCGTTGCCGACACGACGTACGACGCCTACTAAGCGTACTGGATCAGCTCTCAATGCCCCTGCTCCCAAGCGCTCCTCGCCGACGAACACGCCGAGCAAGGCGCGCGTGTCGAACCTAATGAAGATGTTTGAGTCCGATTCAACGAGCTCCGTTTCGCCCACGCGGCCTGCTCCCGTGGGAGGCAGGGTTTTAGCAGGCATGAACACTACCGGGAGGAGCTTCCGCACGGCGGGTGCAGCGTCGCCCAGCGGGGCCGTCTCACCAGCCGTCGCTCGAGCCGCGGGAGCTGCTTCTCCTGGCTTTTCGCCTGGTCGCTCCACGCCCACGCGAGTCCCCAGCGCTACGCCGAGCACCCGTGGACGTGGACGGAGTGTTGGAAGGGTCGAGAGCCCGCCCTCGATGCTCGACGGCCCGCGGGCGAGCTGGCAAGTCCGAAGTGCTCTCCCTCCGCCAGAGCAGCTCGACCTCGGTCCGCTCAAGTACGTCCCGCCGCCGACACCGACGAGGAAGTTGTCCAAGTCGTCGCCATATAGTGCGATGGGAGGCAGCCGCTCGGCGTCGTCGGGTTCGGCGATTGGCAAAGCCTTGCCAACTATGCCAGTTGCGGCCTCGCCAGCCGCACACGCTCCAGATGTCCTTACGGTGTCGCCGAGGGCCGCGTCCGGCTCGAAGCCAGCCACGTCTCCAGTGTCTAACGTCCGCAACATGATCGCCGCGTGGCGTGCTCGCTCCTCGAGCTCAGGTGGCCCACCTCCTCCGTCCTTTGGTTCGGCAGCTGAGAGCCTGGTCGCGCAGCAAACCGGCGTGAGCATGGCGAGTGGCACGAGTACCGGAGCCGCAGGGCTGGGACGGAAGAGCAGCTGGAACATTAGCATCCGCCGGCGACGACAGAACGAGCAGCGCAGGGCGGTTGTCGAGGAGGAACCGGAGGACATCAACGCCGAGCGGCCGCATTCGCCCCCGATCACCATCAGTAGCGGAGGGTCGAAGTCTGCCTCGGGGCAGGGCTCTGACAGATCACAGACGAGTCTGCCTCCGCGACCGGCGAACCCGTCTCCCCCGTCTGTTCCCTCGGCGCCGTCGGGCCGTTCGTCAGACTGGCAAACGACACAGAGCTCTTTGTCTCCATCGTCGGACTCAGAACCCACTGGCGAGGTAGGCTGTCTCCGGATCGCCCCGTTAGCTCACAGCCAGCCGATCAAAACTGGAATTTTGTACTACCTGCAGGTGCACGAGAGACCCGCTGAGGAGTTTGCGTGGATCCGCGTTGACGCGCGGTTGTACGCGGATCGCCTTATCCTCAAGCAGCGCCTGTCCAACGGCATGGATCACCAGACGACGATCTTCCTCGACGACTGTGATGGTGAGTTATATGCAGAGAGGGCCGAGCTGACCAGGTCAGAAGTGGCAAGCTCGCCGAGCCCGACTAACAGCCGCTCGGACGACATCGGGGCGGCGATTGCGCGCCGTGACCGGGAGCTAGGAAACCAGCTCTACCCTTTCCGTCTCCAATACGAGGAGGGTCAGGAGCGGCTCGGATGCGACAGTGCTATAGATCGAGGTGAGTGGCAGGCCTTCGGCGGTGATTGTCGCTGACGTCAGTCCGTTGGGTGAGCGCCATCTGGGGTGTGCTCGATCGTCTCAGCAGCGCCGCTCCGTCTCGTCCCGCGCCGTCCGTACTCAGCGGAAGCAGCAGCTCGCTGGCAGGCTCAGCGTCCACGCGTCTCACGTTATCCCACTCTGTTCCCCAGGGTGTGGTCGATGATGCGGTTATCCCGACCGCTGGTGGAAGTGCTGCGTCCCTCGTCCACCGGGACTCGAGGCGGCTCAAGCCGCAGCGCTCTCTCCGGCGTGCGGCGAGTGATCTCGACCTTCGGGCTGAGCAGACCGAGCAGCTGACAGCCACGCGCTCCGAGCCGTCGACCTTCCTGACTCCGTTAGCCCCCAACCCGCCCACGATCGCGACGTACCCAGCCTCAACCCTTCCCGGCGCAACGATCGCGACATTCCCCGAGTCTCAGCGTACACTTCAGCCTTACCCGCTGTCCGAAGGCACGACCGCGCCCACAGTTCATGCGGCGCCCACGATTCCGCCCTTCGAGCCCTCCGAGCCAGGCGCAGCTCACGAGGATGCTGTCTCGGATATTGGCCCCTCGATCTCGGAGTATGCCGCCCCCGCATCTCGTGGCACGCGACAGGACAGCGGGTCCGGCTACGCGGCTTCGGCGTCAACGGTAGCGAGCTCGAGTCTCAATGCTACTGCATACTCGGGCACAATGGAGATGGAGACAATCGACGTGAATCGTCCCATGAGCTTCCCACTTTCGGCGCCGAGCGAGATCGTGATCCCGGGTGCCACTTGGCCGCCGGAGTCTTCGCGTCCAACTGGCTCTGGATCAGCCTCAGCCTCCGGCTCCGGCCGATCAGGCGGCACCTCACCACCAGAATACACGAGCGAGCCGTACGAAGGTCCTTTCCGAGAGGTAGCGATGTTTGCTCTGCCGGCACAGACAACGGGGACTGACGCTGGGTTCACGACGGCGACAGGCGCTACCGGCACTGAGGCTGGGTTCACGGAGGGTTCGAGTGGCTTGCCGTCTGTTGCTGGCGCCAGCGGAGAGAAGCGCTCGCTTCGCACGCAGGTGACTGCGACGAGCGAGTACAGCGGCTGGGCGTCTGGCGACTCCTCCGACGTCAGTCTGCTTCCGGTGGTGACCGCGGATGAGTTCACCTCCCCCCGCCCCGGATTCCTGCATGAGTCGGGTTCTCCGGCTTGGTCGAGCACAGTGCGCGGGCAGAGTGCTAGCGGAACCTCCAGCCCGCAGCGCATCCACGCCCAGTCGCAGCAAACATCGGCGACCGCTACACCTAGGAGGTGGCCGCGCGATCTCCCCGAGGGATCGATGTACTCTAGCGCTCCGGAGGCGTATCTCAGTACTCAGGAGACGTATCCGAACGAGAAACGCATCATAAGCTACGCCAACCTTCCACCTCTACCGCCGTCGGACTCCGATCCCAGCTCCAGTTCCAGCAGCTCCTCGGGATACAGGACGTCGGCATCGCATGCTACGTCAAGGCCAGCGTCGCAGTTGTCCCGCTCTGACGCCGTTTCCCGTCACCTGACCGGCAGCTCAACTCCATCCAACCGTTCAGCCCAACGCTCAACGCCGCAGCCTTCCTATATTTCGTCACCGGCCAGCGTCCACTCCACCCATCACAGCAATGTCTCCACCCATCCTCGCACTTATCCTTCTGAGCCTGGTTCTGAGCACTCGCCTTCGTCTGGGAACAGCTCCTATCACTCGGGGACCAGCTCCCACCACTTTGCCATTCACCCCAGGCCGAACTCTCCCACCGGCCCCGCTTCGCAGCACTCTGACGTAGGCTCTCAGCATGTGTCCAGTCCTGGTTCCCAACACTCAGGCCCGAGCTCTCCTCATTCTAAGCCGAGCTCTCACCGCCCCGGTTCGCCGTCTGATCGGTCAACGCCGAGCTCCCGTAACTTTGTCCCACGAAGGGCGCCGCCTCGCGAGCCTCAGCTGCACCAGTATTCGATCCAAGTCGAAGTGCCCCTTCCCAATCCACGAGGTGATCCCTCAGGCTCCAGTTCCTTCAGTTCGCGTGGTCATCATGGCCCATCACAGTCTTCAGGAAGCCACACTGGCACTGGTAGGACTGATGAGGCGGCCGGGGATCCCAAATCCGAGAAGCCTCGTTTGTCCTCGACTTCCTCAAGTGCGCAGACGAGTGCAAGTCCGCTTATGGGACGGTTATTGCGCGATGATGGACCTGTCCTTCCGGCGTCGACCCCAACTTCGGTCTCGTCACCTCGGCCCCAGCCCATCACTGCCTGGGCGGCTGGCATCCGGCCTCCTGCCTCCGAGGCTGGTAACCAGAGCTATTACACGGACCCCGCAGACCCTTCCTCCGCCTCCTATGCCACCGGCGTGGCACCTCCTACCTACACAGCCCGCTCCACGGCTTTCACCACCGTCCGCGGTGGACCCTCGACCGCCGGTGTCTCCCTCACCGCCACGGGGCGTACCTCCATGTACGCCACTGCTGGCACGGCAGAGTCCTCTGCGCTGTCCGACCTGCAGCAGCCGAACCCGCCCTTCTCCGCACCCAGCCACGCGGCATCAGATCCGCTGTCGCCGTTCGGCACGCCGCCGTTTGTTTCTGCTGTTCCCGTCTCGCCAGGTTGGAGCACACACCGCGGTCTGCCGTCATATGCGCCGAGTGAGGCGTCCGTTCTGCCGAGTAGGCCGTGGAGCGCTCGCGGAACGACGCCGTCCCCTCCTGAGCAGCAGCTCCGCAGCACGACTCCAATGAGCATTGCGGACGTCAATGTCGCCGATCTCGAGCGCATGTCGAGCGTGGGGTCGAGCGCGAGCCGTTTGACTGAGATTCCCAACCACCCCAGCTCTTCAGACGGGAGTGGCACTCAGCAGTCAAGCAAGCGATCGGTGCCCAGCGACCCGAGGGGGTATCGCACGGCGAGCATGCACGAGAGTTATGCTACTGGAACCGTTGCGTACACAACAGCCGAGGGCACGCGGTACCGCTCCGTTGGAAGTACACCGTGAGTATACCAGAAGACTAGGAGATCAGAGCTGACTTACAGAACTCCGCATACCGCCATGTCCCTTCCGTCCACCATCGCATCCACTGTGACTGCCATGCCGCCGTCTACGACGAGCATTTCCAGTATCCCCTCCACATCGACGGAGACGGTGTCAAGTGTTCCAAGCTGGGCTCAGCGTCGACCCGATTATGCTGACGTTGAGCGCTTGACAGAGACGTCAGCGCCCACGAGCATTCCCCCACCGTCGAGCGTATCGACGCTGCCAGTGAGCTCGAGTGCGCCGTCGACGTTCCGCAACGTGATTCCCAGCACTCTCCGCACGCAACCCGGCAGTACGCAACAACTGAGCTCGTCTGTCCCATCGACGAAACAGCGCACTGTGTCCGGCTCTACTTCAGCGACGCACGCGTCAAGCTCTCAATCGTCTGACAGCAGTTCCGATGCCACGACCGCTCTCCTCCGTCCGTTCCTCAACCATGGCCGAGGTGATGTGGCAATGAGCAGACTAGTAAACCGTCTTCTGGCCTACGAGGACGTGCGTGATGCACAGGCAATCGGCATGCGCTCGCAGCTTGATCGTATGGAGAAGACCCTCAACAACGTCGCAACTCGGGAGCCACCAGTGCGCGAGGTCATCATACGGGAGATCGAGCGTGGTCCGCCTCCAGTGCCAGCGAAGGATGAACCGAGCGAATCGCCGTCGTCTTCTTCGTCTTCGTCGACTTCGAAGTCATCGTCGTCAACTGCCACTCCGGTGAAGAAGATCCCTCGCAAGCCTCCTCCGTCGCTACCGTCTGACTCAGAGACCGAGTCGCAGGGTTCCTACACCGTGGCGGACACCGGTATGGCGGACGCTGAGACGTCGTCAGTGCATTCAGACAGTTCGGAGGAGACGGCGATGCCGACCACGCCTCAAATGGCAAGCATTAATCTCGACATCACTTCGCGGCTTGACCACATGGACAGTCTCTTTGGCAAGGTGCTAGGCCAACAGCAGATGTTAATGGATGAGCTCGATCGCCGCGATCCCTCACGCTTCGAGCAACTCCTTGCTCGAGTTCTGGCCATGCATCTTGGCGGCAGCGGCACCAGCAGCCCGACGTCTACCGTGCGCTCGCTCTGGCCCGAGGGCGACTTCTACCCCGGTGCAGGCACTGTCTCCTCGAAAGACGACCCTCGCACTCCCCACGCTAACACGGTCGCCAGTCTCGGCTCCAGCTCGCTGTCCTCGCAGTACCATTACGACCCATCCGCAGATCCAGAATTCCGAGATATGCCTACACCTCTCGGCTCGGAAGTCACTCCTCCTTGGATGCCGCCGCCAATGGAACTGCCCGACAGCGTCGTTAACAGGTTCCGGCAGAAGGGTCAGCCCAAGCAGAATCAGCCCCAGCAGTCTCAGCCTCCCCAGCAGACTGTCATATACTACCCGCAGCAGCACACTGTGCCCGGCGAGTACCCACGCCAGCCCTCGCCTCAAGAGAGCGTTCCCGAGCATCTGCGGGATGCTGACTCGAATGATGGCCACGGTGAGCGCGACATTCGCCCAATTCCCTTCACCATTGAGCGGGAGCCGCCGCGCGCGCGTGAGCGTCCTCATAACGCGCCCACGTTTGACTCGGACGAGCGCAACAACATCTACCGCGGCCCGACGCCGCAGGAGGACTTGGGTCTGCCTACGCCTCCGCAGGACCGCCGGTGGAAAGACCGTGATCTTCCACAGGTGACGACCGCGCCGCCTGTCTTCAACCCCGGACCTGTTCCTGGCTCCGCCCCGCTTCCCGATTTGGCGCCCGGGTCTGCCTTCGTCCAACCTCCTCGTGCCCAGACAATGCCGCCTGGTCCTGTTCCGGCTCGCGGTACCCCAGGCTTCGTTCCTCACATGCCTACCTCAGGTCTCCGCAATTCATATCCGTCGGTGAACCCCCTCCGCACGCCCGCTCGCACCCCCATGACGACACCGTGGAGGCGTGGCTTCGGCCCAGGTTGGCGGCCGCCAATGGTACGCAACATGGGTGTGATGCAACCAGGCCTTCGTCCTGGTATGTTCCCCGGCGTACCCGTTCGCCCTGGGGTCCCCGGTGGTCTTCACCGCCGCTGGGGTAGTGGGTTGGATGCTGTAGACGAGCACCGCTCATCTCACGGCTCTGATGCTGGCAGCGTCTCTTCCTCGAGCAGCAAGACTACCAAGTCGAGCAAGTCAAGCAAGAGTATCAGCGTTTCTGAGCTGAAGAAGCAGAATGAGCAGGAACTGGCGGAGATTGAGAAGAAGCGTAATGAGCTCGAGAAGGAACAGAAGGCATTCGAGGATGCTCAAGCTAAGGATCTTGCTGCACACGAGGCCGAGGAGGCCGAGAAAGTGCGGGCTGAAGAGAGGAAGCGTATCGAAGACGAGTCTCGCGCGCGCGACAAAGAGCTCGAGGACAAATTTGAAGAGAAGCTTGAGGAGGAGCTGGATAGGATCAAGAAGTCCCACCTCGAGTCGCAAGCGGCACAGCCCTCTCCCCAACCCCAGCCTGTCACTCCCATCAGCGCCGCCGCCGTCCCCGAGACTCCCGTGATTCACATCGATGTCCCGAGCCCTCACAGCCACAAGAGCTACCGCAGCTACCCGATGTCGCGATACTCCTCGTCAATCTCGAGTGTCTCCCCCAGCTCAGCTTCCGAGGAGGCGATCTTGACACCGAACACGAACAACATTCAGGTGAGACCGCAGTATGTGATAGCGACTGATCAGTAGCTCAACGAATGGCTTCAACAGCAGCAGAAGACGGACATGGACCCGAGCGAGGAGCGAATGGCGCGCTACATGACTGGCGTCAGCGAACAGATCAACAGCCTCTCGGCTCACATGAAGCGAGAGCTGGACGACCTAATCCTGTGCATGAACGACCTCCGCCAGGCGAACCGCCCAACCCGAGTCCAAGCTCGTGTCCTCTCCGATGGTACAGTGCAGCTCATGACCGGCGAGATCGTCGATGGCATCCGCGGTGAGAGCCAGCCAGGTGCCGTGCGTATCACAACAGCCGGCCCGCACGTCCAGGGTCGCGTTCTTCCCGACGGCACTGTCATGGTAGGCGACAACGAACTTGAAGGCATCCGCGGGAGCCCGCGCGAGCCCGAAACCAAGGCTGAGGCCGAAGAGGTTGAGAAGCGCATCAAGGACGCCGTGCAGGACGAAAGACTCTCGCAACTTGAGGAACGACGTAAGCTTCGAAGGCGAACGGTTCACGTATGAGTGTATTACTGACAGCAGTTCGTGATATCCTCTCCGTTACGCAGAGTGTGTACGCTCCGAGCGAGCGCGGTCGCAGTCCGGCCCGCAGCTCGCACACTCACCGTAGCCACCACAGTCATCACAGTCACCATAGCCACCACAGCCCGCCCCGCGACCCCATGGTCACTAAGGAGACCACGACGGACAAGGAGCGCATTATCGAGAAGACGCACATTGAGAAGGACAAGGAGAGAGATGTTGGGCGGCTTCCGAGCGCACCAGCCGTGCCGACTCCGCCCGCGACCGTCGTTGGTCCGCCCGCTGATCCGCCAGCGCCGAAAAGGCCCCGTGTCATTGAGGAGACTCGAGAGGTGCGTCTTTCATCGATTGCCAGTTGACTGACTTTCAGCTCCAATGGGTTGATGCCCAGCCCGGCAGGCCTGGCATCGCGCACACCGTGTCAGAGTACGGTGGTGTCATTCCCGCGCCGATTATTCCGTCTGCCATACCTGCAAACCTCACTCCGCCTGGTCTTACGCGACAGGCTCCTGGTCACGGTATTGGCTCGGACACGCCGACGACTACTGCCCCGCCTTTGCATCAGGCCCCCTCCACCGTCGCACATGGGCTGCCTACACTTAAGGAGAAGAAGGAGAAGCCGGTTTGGAGCACCAACCCGCCTCACTCCAGCCGCCGGAACTCGCCCGCCCAGCCTCACACCAACCTTCAGCCAGAGCCCGAGGTTAGAACTCTCGGAAACATCCCCACGCAGAGCTCGCCGGAGCAAGAATCCAAGGCGCCGGGCAAGGGTCCCAGGGCGTCATCGCCTGAGCCCGAGCTCCACGTCTACGGTAATATGGCTAAGGACCCCACTCCAGAGAACACACCGAAGTCAAAGCCGACTAAGCTCCCCACGGCCGCCCAGGAGAAATCGAAAGACGACAAGCAGCCGAAGGAGGGCAAGAAGATCGATGATGACGCCGCTTCCAAGTCGTCTGGAATTGACAGGATGGGAGAAGAGTATTCGACCATTGGTAACCTGCGTGTCACGAACCCCGACCCGGCGCCCGAGAAACCGAGCTCGGTACAGTTCGCTGAGCCCGAAGGGAAGAAGGACAAGGAAGGACAGAAGGCCCCCCCGGTGCCTCCTCCGCCCCAGAAGAATCTCCCCGTTCCTCCTGTCGAGCCCATTGATGGCATTCCTCCCGCGATTGATTACTCGAAGGTCAAAGACGGTCAGAAGGATAAGAAGGCCGACACTAGTAAGGGTAAGGACAAGCCTGCGAGCATCCTTAAGCCATCGTCTCCTGATGCGGTTGATGGTACACCCGACAAGGCTCCGAGCAAGTCTACCGATAAGATCGGCGACAAGCCTGTCGCCGCGATCGGCAACGTGGCACCCAAACCAGTGGACAAACCGAGTGACAAGCCCGGGAAGGTCGATGTGCCGAGTCGGCCTACAAGCGCTGCAGGCGAGCCTCCCGCCAAGGACGGTGCTGGGGCCAAGGGTGCCGATGCTGCTAAGAGCGGTCCTGGACCAAAGAAGGGCAGCGAGAAACCGGTCAGAACACTTGGCAACATGGCGACAAACGACGGCAAACCCGGTGATGGGTCTAACAACGACCCCGGAAAGCCAACCGCTCCTCCCGTCAAGTCTGACGATTCGAATGCTCAGGTCAAGAAGCCCGAAGAGAAGAAGGAGTCTGGTCGCATGCCCATCTACGACCTCGTCACGCTGCCCAACGGACAACAAGGGCTGGTCCGCACGGGCTCGATCGCCATGCCGAGCAAGCCCAAACCGGCTCCGGAGTCGACGCAGTCTTCCACCAAAGGAGCAGACGTGCCGGCTGGCGCTACCCAGCCTCCGGGTCTGGGCAAACCTGCACTTGGTGATAAGCCTGCTGATGGAGCCAAACCTGGCCCAGGCAAGATCGAGGAAAAGCACACTGCCGACGTTCCCGCTCTTCCTGTCAAAGACGGCGATCAACAACCGGCGGGTCCGCCCAGCGAAACGCCCAGTGACAAACAGTCGCGCGTGCTGCCAACTCCCCCTGGTCCAGCTGGTGGTAACAAGCCTCCCTCTGTCACGGCTTCTCAATCAGCGTCCGCTGCGCCAAAGAGCGACACTCCAGCTAACGACCCGGCCAAGCTGAAGAAGTACTCACCGCCACGCGCTGCTACGCCGCCGGCCGTTCCTGCCGAAGAACCGTCTACTCCGCCGAGCCGGGTTATGCCGAGCATGGGCGGACGTACCCCTTCGATGCACTCTGGTCCACCTCCGTCGATGCCCTCCGGACTGCAACGCAACAACGGTCGCAGGCCCTCTGGACCGCCGGCTGGGCGCCCCGAGCCCATCCCGGAGCATCCCAGCGCCAACGAGGAGTCCGAGCACATTGTTCCACAACCAGCCCGGCCGCCTGCGGCTGGAAATGCCGGTCCTTCTGGTTCTTCCTCAGCATCCAATGCGGGAGGGATCGGGGGACCGGGCGGTCCCGGTGGCCCTCCTTCAGGCAAGGGTCCCAGCAAGGCGCCGTCCGTTGTCAGCGGACCGCCGCCAGGCGGACCTCCTGGAGCTGCGCCGCCGCCGAGCGCTCGACCGCCACCCGACCACGCAGGACCTCACTGCGACCACTGTTGCCCGAACGAGCCACGCAAGGGATACCAGCCGCGCCTTCCTCCGGGAGGACTTAGCTTGCCGGCGCCTCTGGCGCCCTCGGCTGCTCCCTCCAAGGACGAGAAGGCTGATCAGAAGGAGGAAGAAAAGAAGGAGGAGCCCAAGAAACTGGAAAAGAAGAAGGACGACCCGAAGAAAGAGGAACCGAAGACGAATAAGAACGCCCCGCCGGGAGCTTCTCCGGCTGCCAAACTCGCCGACAAGCCTGCACGTGAGTTGGACAACCGTTACCGAGCTGACAGCATAGCTGCTGTCGCCAAGGACGCGGACACCTCGTCTACGCATACTGTTCACGCAGAGCCTGGACCTGCGCCACCTCCCAACTTGCCCAAGGCCGTTGCCGATAAAGGCAAAGCCACCGACAAACCCTCCAAGGGAGGGGAGGACAAGGGTATGGGCGACGAGAAAAAAGGAGGCGAGAAGGCTAGCGACAAGACCGCCGACAAGGCTGCTCCCGCTGCTTCTAGTGTGACCGAGGCGATGTTTAAGGAGGAGGTGAAGAGGGCCGCAGAGCGTGACAAGGCGGCCGCGGCTCGACGCGCGGAGGAGGCTAAGAAGGCTGAGGAGCGCGAGAAGGCAGCCGAGGCTCGTCACAAGGCGCTTCTCGAGGCTGTCGCGAAGATCGCGGCCGGTGTTGCGGCATTGCTAGAGACCGACGACCTGGAGCCCGCCAACGTGAAGAAGGCGAAGGAGGCCGTAACCAAGCGGCGCGCGGATAAGGCTGCGCTTGCGAAGAAGATGGATGAGTTCCTGCAGAACATCCTCAAGGACACCAACGCGCTGAAGAAGATCTCCGACGCTGAGGCGAAGGAGCCCGGCAAGGCGCCGATGGTCAAGACCATCCTCGAGACGTACAAGCAATCCGGAGTCGAGCAGTCGAAGTGGCTCAAGGACCTGGGTCAGAACATCATGGACCACAACTCGAACCAACACAAGCTCACGCAAGACGCGGCCAAGCAGTGGGCGCGCGAGCAGGTTGGCTTCAACCTTGCTGGATACCTCGACGACTTCTGCAAGTCAATCGCAGGCGAGGTCCGCTCTCTTCTCAAGGAGGTCGGAGACCTGCGCGAGCAGCGCCGCGCCATGTACATGTGAGTCAGCTGGAGTATCGACGACGCTGACGACTAGGGAGCTGGCGGACCTCTTGCTTACCAAGGGTCGCCAGAGCGGCGGTGACCTCATGGCCGACCAAGCCGCCTGCGAAGCCGGCCGCCCCGGCAGACAAGAAAGTGAGTTATAACCTGCGGTGCAGGTGATCCCCAGCTGACATCAAGAAGCCCGAGGCAAAGAAGCCGGAGGAGAAGAAGCCCGTTGTTCCACCCGCATGGACAAGCTACATGGCCCCCGCGCCGTTCGCAGCCATGGGCATGTATCCGCCGACCGCTCGGCCGCTTCCGCCCGCTCCTGGAGGTGCGAGCTTCCCAGCCCATCCCCTGCCAGTGCCCCCAGGTCCGCCTGGCATCGTCACTATGACTCCGACTGTCATGCCCGAGCCCAGGCCGACGGGGGGCAAGCCCTTGCCTAAGACGTAATGGGAACAAGCAGGCGCGACTGTATCAGCTGATAATCTCGAGTTTAGACATTATTGGGTGTACTTCCTACTATTTCCCCACTCCTCCGCCTCCCATTGTTAGTAAGAGTAGTAACGACCCTGTGTATAGTCAAGTGCAAGTTAGATAACGAATGTGAACAAATGTACATGGTTCGCTTTATGCTGGTGATGTTACAATGGAGATTAGGACCGCTTCTCATTCAGGATCACGCCGACCTCGTCAACGGGCTGCTCAGTAAAGAGCTCGACTCCGGCGCCGAGCGAGTCAATCAGCCGCTGCAACCGGTTCGCGGTGAGTGTCGGGTCGGACTGATGTCAGCTTGCTGCAGAGTGGACAGATTGCGAACTGTCTCGGCTGGGACATGTTGTTACGCCCGAAGCCAAGCCAATCGGGCGGTGCGAGCCCGCAAACAATCCTCGATCATATGGGCGGTCCCACTCACCTTCCTCAGGTCCTCCATGTCACCCCCGAAGCCCTCAACGAGGCGGTCCATGTACACCCTCCTGAACGCGGCCCGGCGCTCGCTCTCCTCCTCAGCTGTAGCGGGGAGGAATGGAGGAATTTCCGGCTCCGGGCTGGGAGAAAGCGTGGGCTGACGCTGTACCGTTCGTTTCGGCTTGGACGCCTTCACCGCCCGGTCACTCTCATCGTCACTGTCGTCACTCGAGTCGCTCGAGTCGGAATCGCTGTCGTCGGAGTCGGACTCCGGGTGCGCCTTCGCCTTGCCCTTGACTGAAGTGCTAGGCTTGGCATCCGATTCTGAATCTGAGCTGTCGGATGAAGTCGAAGAGTCAGACGATGTCGAACTGCTGCTCGACCCACTGTCGCTCGCGCCGTCCACGTCCATCTTCTCCGGGGGAGCCTCGTCGCCGCTCTCATCGGAGGAGTCGGAGTCCTCGCTCGAGGAGGTCGAGTAGCTCGCAGCCCTTCTTCTCCTCTTTCTCGGACGACGGGTTTGCTGGGCCGATGCTTGAGCTGCCATGGTCGCTGGGTGCTAGAGACGTCACAACAAATCCTGTTCTGGTCGCAAGCAAGCGGGCGGCGGTTCATGTCAACTTTTAGTGGTTACGTAATGTGGGGAGGGTGGTGGAGGTCCGCTTATTACGTAACGTTGATGTGGATCATTGTGCGGGACAACGCTGCGGAGGTTTTGCCCTGACGAGTCGAAAAGAGTCGCCGCGACAACGAATACCCGCGTCCCGAACGTCTCTTCCCCTCCTTCTTCCACTCATCTCATCCAGCTCTCACTCTCACATCTAGAGAGCATCTATTCACAATGGCTGAGGCTATCAAGCAGGTTTTTGCTAAGAAGCGGGAGGAGGTGAGTTATCATGTCCGGTTACCCCTCGTCTCCTCGACGCTGGGGCGCTCGTCGGCTATCGATGGTGACTATCCGCTAACGACCAGGACCAGCCGTGAGTACACCTTCAGCAGGGCTCCGGGCTCGCCCACCCTTTCTCGGAGAGCAACATCTCCGAGATAGTGGTCGTGGACGCTTCTGTAAGCTCTCCACGCAGCTTCGAGCTCCCCGGCGCTCTTCAAGCTCCACACCGGCTTCTCCGCGGCGTCTTCCCAGTTCCCCGCTGACCTCACAGCGTGTTCGTGACCTTCCTCACGGCTGGCTACCCCACTCCCGATGTCACTGTCGACGCTCTCCTTGCCCTCGAGGCCGGTGGTGCCGACATCATCGAGCTCGGTGTCCCCTTCTCGGACCCCATGGCCGATGGTGCCGTCATCCAGAAGGCGAACAACATCGCCATCGAGCACGGTGTCGGTTACACGCAGTGTCTCGAGTACGTCAAGGAGGCCAGGAAGAGGGGTCTCAAGGCGCCTATCATCTTCATGGGTGAGCTTCCAATTCTTCATCCTGAAGCTGACAGCCAGGCTACTACAACTCCTTCCTTGCTCACGGTGAGGAGAGGGCTGTCCGCGAGGCCAAGGAGGCTGGTGCCAACGGCTACATCGTTGTTGACCTACCGCCTGAGGAGGCCCTCAAGTTCCGCAACGTCTGCAAGGACACTGGCATGAGTTACGTTCCGCTCGTCGCCCCCAGCACCTCGCTGGAGCGCCTCAAGTTCCTCTCCACCATTGCCGACTCTTTCATTTACGTCGTCTCCAAGGTAAGTTTACCTGTGACGCTCCCGCTGACTTGCAACAGATGGCCGTCACTGGCTCGTCCTCTGGCTCCAAGATGAACGACGCTCTCCCCGACCTCATCGCCAGCGTCCAGGCTGTCACTCCCGTCCCGCTCGCTGTTGGCTTCGGTGTCAGCACCCGTGACCACTTCAACTTCGTCACGGACGCCGGTGCCGACGGCGTCGTCATCGGATCCAAGATTCTGCAGGTCATCGAGCAGGCTCCCCAGGACCAGATTCCGAAGGCTATTGAGGATTACGCTCGCTCGATCTCGCTCAAGGGACAGAACCCGAAGCCGCTTGGTCGCAAGAACAAGCCCGAGGACGCTGCCGGCAAGCCGGAGCCTGCCATGCCGATCCCGCCTTCGGACCTGAAGGAGAGCCAGAAGGAGTACGGTGTCAAGGCTGGCGAGCGCCTGCCCAGCAAGTTTGGTGCTTTCGGTGGTGCCTACGTTCCGGAGTCGCTCACGACGTGTCTCGACGAGCTGGAGGACGCCTACATTAAGGCTAGCAACGACCCGTCGTTCTGGAAGGAGTTTGAGGACATGTTCGAGTACATCGGACGGCCATCGTCGCTCTACTACGCTGAGCGCCTCACGGAGAAGATGGGCGGAGCCAAGATCTGGCTGAAGCGCGAGGACCTGAACCACACTGGTTCGCACAAGCTGAACAACGCTATCGGTCAGATCCTCCTCGCCAAGCGCCTCGGCAAGAAGCGCATCATCGCCGAGACCGGAGCCGGCCAGCACGGTGTTGCTACGGCTACCGTGTGTGCCAAGTTTGGCATGGAGTGCGTCGTCTTCATGGGTGCCGAGGACGTCCGTCGCCAGGAGATGAACGTGTTCCGTATGAAGATGCTTGGCGCCACCGTTGTCCCGGTCACGAGCGGATCTCAGACGCTCAAGGACGCTGTCAACGAGGCCATGCGCGAGTGGATCACGCGCCTCGACACGACCCACTACCTGATCGGCTCTGCCATTGGCCCCCATCCCTTCCCGACGATTGTCCGTGACTTCCAGCGCGTCATCGGTCGTGAGATCAAGCAGCAGTGCGCTGAGAAGTTCGGTGCTCTCCCGGACGCTGTCGTCGCGTGCGTCGGTGGTGGATCCAACGCCATCGGAACCTTCTACGACTTCATTCCCGACGAGAGCGTGCGCCTCCTCGGTGTCGAGGCCGGCGGCAACGGTGTCAACACGACGCTCCACTCCGCCACGCTCGCCAAGGGTGTCCCAGGTGTCGTGCACGGCGCTGCCTCGTACATCATTCAGGACGCCGGTGGCCAGCTCGTCCCGACGCACTCGATCTCGGCCGGTCTCGACTACAACTCTGTCGGCCCCGAGCACGCGTACCTGAAGGACCTCGGCCGTGCCGAGTACATCGCCGCCGACGACGTTCAGTGTCTCACCGCGTTCCGCATCTGTACGCAGTCTGAGGGTATCATCCCTGCCCTTGAGTCGTCTCACGCGCTCTGGGGCGGCTTCGAGCTCGACCAAGACCCTCCCGAAGGACAAGAATGTTGTCATCTGTCTCTCGGGCAACGGCGCCAAGGACGTCGAGGAGGTCCTCCTCACGCTGAAGAAGAAGGAGTGGGCCGACAAGCTCGACTGGCACATTGCCAACTAAGCTCCCAGCCGCAGCCCGAGGGCCCGAGACTGGTCGAGCGTAGTAGTAGTTCTGTAAGCGGCATCTTGACGGAGAGGAGTAGTAGCAGATAAAGTGCCGCGAACAATAGAAACAACCCAAAAAATGTAGGACCAATGCATCACCTAGACTAAGCCAATCAAGCCAATGTTGCGACCATGACGGCGTCCTTGCCCATCGCGACGGTAGCCACCTCCTTAAGCTGAGGGAGCTTCGTCTCCTCCTCCCTCGGGACAACGCCGACGCCGTCCCCGATGAACATGGGCGCGACAGTGACGACGACGGTGTCCACTTCCCTGTCCGCGAGGAAGGACGCGAGGACCCTGCTCCCACCCTCGATCATGACGCTCCGCAGCCCGAGATCGGTGAGAATGCCCCGCAGAGCGCTTGGCGGGATCCGCCCATCCTTCAGTGGCGTGCGGATGATGCATGCTCCTGCCTTCTCGAGCGCCTCGGCGTTGGACGCGGGAGCGTCGGGACCGCAAATGAGGAAGGGCTGCTTCACCGCCTTGGGCCCGATGGCGGCGGGATCGCGATTCTGCCATTCCTGCAGCATGCGGGCGTTTGGCGGTGTACGCAGGGAGGGGTCGAGGATGAGGATTTGGGGAGGGTGAAGGGAGGTGTCGTCTTGCGGGACTTGCTGGACTGGGGGGTTAGCTTGGGCTTTGAATACAGTGCGATAGCTGAAGAAGACGCCCGGAGAGCAGCATAGCCAGCTGACATACAAGAAGGAGGATGGCTGAACAGGCAACTGGCTTTTCCTTCTGACATCCTCACTCACTCTTTAATCGCGGGTCGTCGTGGATGACGGTCTGCACACCAACGAGGATCGCGTCATGCATTGTCCTCAGCCTGAGGTCAGTTCGGGAAAACGCGAGAGGAACTGCATCAGACTCACCACTGAGTCATCCCCATACTCTCCGGTCCCGACAACAGGACTCTCTTCCCTCCCGGGCCGGCAATCTTGGCGTCGAGCGACTGAGCCCACGTCAGCGTGACGTGAGGCTTGGACGGCCACGCAGCAGCCGTGACGGGGGCGACGTGCTGCACCAGGATGTCTGGCGGGGTGCTCATGTCAAAGTCAGCCATGGTGTCGGTCGATGCTGTTGATGGTGATGAGCTCAGTGTCACAGGGTAGTTGCTGGTGACCTAGCCGGGGGGTGGTCAACCTCCACCGGCCGCACACAGCAGCTCTTGGCGGAAGTGCCACACGGCGGCGTTACCCGTTCCTGGGCATCATGACGCCTTCTTTCCCTGTCCTCGTGCTGGCCACTGGAGACTGGCTAGTGGAGGGTCACCGATCCGAGTCAAGAGAGCATACCAAGCAAGCATCATCCCCCTCCAGCGTCAACAAACCACCCACCATGTCGTTCTTCGGCTTCGACACTGGTCTGCCGGACGACCCCCGCGCAAAGCAGGGACAGCACAGCCAGTTCGCCTCCCGCGCTGATCAGGACACCTTTGGCTCCTTCGACCGAGCCGGAGAGGAGGACCTCGCCGTCTACAACTGGGGCGAGGGCGGTCTGCTCGAGAGCGGCGACGACTTCAACGATGAGACCTTTGGCGACACGGGCGACTTCGGTGAGTAGATGCTGTGCCGTGCAGCAGACGCACGCAGCTGAACGGAGTAAGTAGAAGCTGATATCAGGCAACGACTTCCAGTTCGCCGCGGCCCCGGAACCGGCCCAGTCCAAGCCCAAGGTTGCCTCAACTTCTTCCCGCTTCGGACCCAAGGCTCAGGTCGACCTGTTCGCCGCGACCGAGGATGACTTCTACACCTCGCGTCCTGCCACGAAGAGTAAGCGACTTATAGGGCTAACAGCTGATCAACAGAACCGACCAAGACGCCCAAGAAGAAAAACAACGAGCCTCAGCCGCTGTGGGCTAATGCTTCGCCGGCGAACGCGTGGGGCGCCGCCCCCATTGCTCCTCCTGTCTCTGGACATCAGCCTAGCAAGATCCTCTCGCTCGAGGAGATCGAGGCCGAGATGGCTCGCGCTTCGATCGGCAACAAGCAGCAGCCACAGTACGCCCCTCAGCAGCAGCAGCAGTACGCGCCGTCGCCGCAGCATGTGCCCCAGCAGTACCAGCAGCCGCCTAAGCACACCCAGCCCGGTCACCAGGTTCTCAGCCTCGAGGAGATTGAGCGCCAGATGATCGGCGGTGGACCTTCGCCTGGCCCCGCCCAGGCTCCCCAGCAGCCGCCCCTCGGCCAGTCGCCTCACGGACAGCAGCTTCACGACCAACCGCCGCGCTCCCAGGCGCAGAACATTCCGCCTGGCATGCACGGCCGCTCCGGCTCAGCGCAGCTCTCGACGCCTCCGATCGCCGGCACGCCTCCCGCCCCGGGCCTGAACGGATCCGGCTACGCGAAGCAGCAGGCGCTCCTCGACTCCATGTTCCCGGATCTGCAGCAGGCGAACCAGCAACCCGGTCAGCCGCCCGCGCCGGGGCCGCCTCAGCACCCTGGCACGCCCGGCTTCCAGGGTCCTCCGCCGGGACAGCCGCAGCCGTCTCCTGAAGAGCTGGCGCGCATGGAGGAGCTGCACAAGCGCATCACTGCCAAGATCGAGGGCATGAGCAAGTACAACAACCTGATGGGCAACTCGGACAAGGACTTCATCACGCGTATCCAGCTTTCGCAGCTTGCCACGAGTGACCCGTACTCCTCCGACTTCTACGCGCAGGTCTTCTCTGCGCTCGCCAGGCGCGCGCAGGACGCGCAGGGCAACGAGTCTGGCCCGACTGTCGTCCAGATCGCTCCCGGCATGGGTCTCGGTGTCGGCGGCCCCGTTGGCAACCGTTTCGGAAAGATGGGCAGTGCGACGATGAACCGCCTCACGACGCAGGTCAAGAAGCTCGTCTCGACCACGGCTAAGCGTCAGCAGGCCATGTCCTCTGACGCTCTCGCCGGTGCGCTCGGTCGCGTCCGCCGCGGCGCGAACCAGGCTGCTCCCCGTCCCGTTCTGGCCGTCCCGAAGCCGGAGCACCGTCCCGCCGCCGTCGCGCAGCTCAACCATTCGTCCGGCCCGACCCGCGAGCCTCTCACCCGCAAGCAGGTCATGTATGCGCTCGAGGAGCTGTACGACGACTGCCTCGAGCTCGAGCAGATGCGCCGTGAGGCGCCCCCGCCGACAGATGTGCCCCGCGTCGAGGCGTGGAACCAGCAGTGCGCTGCCAAGGTCGACGACCTCTGGCGCAAGCTCATGGTCATGGAGCCGCTCGGCGTCAGCACGCCCCACCCGTTCATCTCGCTCATCAACCCGCTCAAGGGTCAGCGCCTCTTCCCCCGTCTCCTCCGCCACCTCGACCACCAGCGCGCCCTCACCCTCCTTACCCTACTCATCGCGACCTACCCTCAGCTTGAGGTCGTTGCCCGCGCCCCCCCGCCCCCCGTCGCCGACGTGTCCCTTCTCACGAAGGCGGACCGGGAAGACCGCGCGCGCCGCGAGGCGCAGACCGACTCGTTCCTGCACTGCGTCATTCCCGGCGTCGACATGCTAATCAACCAGTGCAACCTCGGCCTCGTCGCCGGTCTGCTGGGTATCTGCACGCAGCGCATGGAGCTCGGTGCCGTCGCCGCCACGCGTCCCGGAGTGGCGCTCTTTACTGCCCTCCTGTCCCGCGCCCAGTCGCTCGTGCGCGGCGAGGCGCCCATCGACCCCGCCGAGCGCGAGCAGTGGACCAAGACCTTCGACTACTTCCTACAGACGATCAGCCCGCACCTCCCGGACCTGTTCCCGGCCACGCTGGCGCAGAAGGCCGTCTTCGGCCCCAGCGCCTACCTGCTCAGCTCGGAGGGCCAGGCGCGCCAGGACCGCGACCACGGTGAGATGGAGCGGCGCGAGGCCGAGGTGTGGGGCCTCGCGGCCGCGCTCGCCGTCAATGCGCCCGAGGACCAGCAGACCAACCTCGTCGCCGCGCTGCGCGACAAGATCCTGCACACGGTCCAGGCTGCGCGCTACCCGAAGACGCCCCGCGAGAAGGCAGAGCTCAAGCTCAGGAACGTCAATATGTTCCTGCACGGACTGGGTCTGGACGCGAGCATGATCGAGTAGAGCGACGAGGGCAGACTTGTGTAGAAGAGTAGTCGAGGGAGAAGGGAGAAGTGAGAAGTGAGGAGGCCAGATCAGCAGAAAAACTATAGGATACCCCCAGAATATTCTCTTGCAGCAAAGGGTGGCCCACATTGCGTCCCAAAGTACGACGCGGGCGCGAGATCGAGATACTGGCAACAGAGACCGTTATGCATCATGTACACCGTGCACTGGCGGTTGGAGGCAATTTGTGTGTAGCAGAGGACAGAGGTGGGAACTAGCACTCCATCCACCTCGTGTCGCCGGATGAAGGGGGAGCCATGCCAAGCGATTGGAAACCCTGGAGATGCGATGTCCGAAAGTGGCACCCGGCAACCGAAATTCGGCAAAACTCCCGTGGCGCGCATTTCGCTCTGGAGCAGCGCCAAACCACTTATGTGGAGACTACGCCATTGCCCTTTCCTTGAACGTGTAAGATCGGCTCGATGGGGTCAGCTGCCGAACTTGTGGCCGAGGCACTTGAGGCGCAAGTCCTGACCGGCAGTTACAGTGATCACGGCAAACCTCCCTAATCCCCTTTTATCGCTCCGGTCCACCTTCTCCAACGACTGGGCTTCTGGCAACGACTCGTCAATATAACACTGCTCTGACTTAGCTGGCAAACACATCTCTCCGATTTGATCGTCATGAATGTCATCACAAGAAGTACAAACTACAGTATCCAGGCAGACTGGACCTTCTTGGGCGCGGCCGGCGGCTCCGATGACGGCGGCTGCCTCTGAGGCGTTCTGCAGCCCAGCTTCTTCTCGCCGATGAACTTGAGAAAGCTCGAGAACACGCTCCAGTGGTGCTGCCCAGTGTTGCCCAAGGTGGTCATTGAGAAGCAGAACAAAAGTTCCGCCTCCGCATTGGAGACCCTGGCCGATAGATCCTGGGGCCGGAAGTTGGAACTCTCCAGGCTCGAGACGGAGGCGTCGGCGTTTTCGACGTACCCATCAAAGAGTCCTTCTCGAGCGCTCAAGACCAGGCGGTCGTCGAGCAGGCGTGGTGTTGGTTCCCTTGGGGATCATCGCCTGGCTCCCCAAAGCAAGCCACTCGCAAAGCACCTCCCAATGACCGGCGCCGGCGTCGGAGAGCTCTCGCAGTCCATAGGAGAAGAGTGGCGCGCCCGCGATGTCGTAAACAGTGATGATGAGAAGTTCCTCCGCGAAGCTGGAAGCCTGCACATTGGAAACACTCACGTCACTCACTCTCAGAAAGCCCCGAAAGATTCCATCTGCCATGTGCGGTTGCAGGAGCTCACGTGGCAGCGGGATGCAGATGGCGTCGACCTTCCTCTTCAGCCTCTCCTTAAGCTCCTTGCGCATTGACTTCTTCCGACCAAACTTGTAAGTACAGGTGTCCAGAGTAACGCGGACCTTAAGTTAGCATAAGCCATCCCCTGGATTATCAACTCACCTTGCAAGTACCAAGAAGCAGCTCCTGGAAGATGTCGTTCAGAGAACGCCGGCGCTTGGAGCTGGAGAGGCCGACTGGAGCCTCGACGGGACTCGTGGGCGCTCAGAGGATTGATCTGACTAGCAGCCAACTCCTCGCTGGTGAGGGCCAGCCACTCTGCAAAGATGTAGAAAAGCTCGACGCCAGCATCCGACAGGTCCTCGCAGCAATAGACAAACAGAAGCACGCCTTCCTCGCTGTAGATCGAAACGTGGACGTTCTCGGCTAGCCAGCTGGGTTTGCCTGGCTCAGATGTCTCACAGGACACCTTGGCGAAACCGCAAAGAACGCCATGCGTTGCGTATCTACGCACGAGCTCCCTTGGAACGGGCAGCCGCACCGCGTCGATCGACGTACCCATCAAAGATCCCGTTACAAGCGTGGGGTGCGAGTAGCGCCCTGGGAAGCGGCAGGTGGACGGCCCGGAGTCGCCTGTCTTGATGCAGCAGCTTAAGGTGGCGCAGCGCCCCCGCGTGCTTGCTGACACGGCACAAGCAAGAGTCGATTGAGACGCGGACCTGTTATTAGCATGGACCAAGTGTTACAACGATAAGCTTACCTTCTTCCTTCCAGAGGCCAGGGCGTTGAACGTCTTGATCGGCTGCTCGAAGCCAGCGCCACGCTTGCGGCCAGCCTTGCGTCTCCTTGAGGCGGCCGAGGAGAAACCGGCGGTGGTTGCGGACGACGACGCCGTAGCCGCGGCCGACCCATCGCCCTCGAGGAGCGTCTCGAGCTCTTGAGCTGTTGCTCGAAGCTACGACCACGCGTGCGGCTACCCCAGGGTTGGCGCGGCTCGAGGTTGCAGCAGATGATCATGTGCCGTCGCCCCGCGTCGGACAGATCGGAGTAGCCGTAGTCAAAAAGCCTCTCCCCACTCTCCCCGTACACAGTCACTGTCAGTGACTGGCGTCATACTGGTCATTGGGGAGATTGCGATTGAACCGAACCTTGACGTAGCCGGAGAAGACGCCGTTGCTTGAGTGCGGTCGCAAGAGCTCGCGAGGAAGGGGAGGCTGACGGTGCTGGTCTCCTTCTTCCACTTGCGGCTGAGCGAATGGACAGCGACCGCGAAACAGCTTCAAGGCCATGGACGGTCCCACGGGGTTGAAAAGTGGTCAGGCGGGCATGGAGGCCTGAGAGCTGGCATCGACGCCCTCGCTAACGGTAGCCAACCATTCAATGAACACTAACCAGTGCCCGAGACCGGCCGGGGACAGCTGATCGTAGTCAAAGTTGAAGAGGAACCCTCCAGCGTCGTCGTAGACACTGACCACGATTGAGCGGTGGTCGAAGTCGGACAGGAGCAAGAGCGGGGTAGACTTGTCCCAGACCTTCACTGAACCCGAGAACTGGCCGTCGACGCAATGGGGGCGAAGAAGCTCGCGGGGAAAGGGAAGGGCGAGCTTCTTCACGTTGCGCCGAAGCCTAAGCTTCAAGCTTCGAAAAATTGCGCGACCCTTTCCAAGCTTCAGGAGGGCTGTGTCGAGGGGCACGCGGACCTATTGTCAGCGCGGGCTATCTTCACCTCATCTAACTCACCCGCTTCCTTCCTTCGACCAGCTTGTGGAACGTATCGCTGGAGCTTGGACGACTCCCCTTGCGCCTACCCAACGACTTCCGGTCCGATCGAGTCGCCTCAAAAGCCTTCTGATCTTCGGCGGCCTTCTTGATCTCAGGCGGCGCCTGGTCCGACTCGAGCTTTTGCGCGAGAACTTGTAAGCTGCAGTGTTCACGGGTACGCTGATCTATTGTCAGCGTGGTCATTGTCTGCAGTATCACACTCACTGGTCGCGTCCCCTTCAAGAACTCCTGCAGCAAATTCTCCTGGGTGGGGCGGTGCTTCCGGCTGGCTACGCGCTTGGTTGACTTGCGGGGCGCAGCGTGACCGCCGTCGCCGTCCGGGGGGCTGTTGCCGTCGAGCAGCGTCTCGAGCTCGTCGATACGACCCAGGAGACCGCTGACAGTGTCAGCGGCCTCCGACAGCCAGGCCTGGGACACAAAGGATCCATCGCCGGACCGAGCAACGAAGGGCTGAAGTGAGCAGAAGTTGGGGTAACGAGCCAGCGCGTGGAAGAGGAGCGGGTCAGGTCAGACTTACGTTCTGATCGCCTTCATTGTCGTCGGCGGTGTCCTCGGGAGCGGCTGGGGTGGGGTCGTCCTTGTCGTCCTCTTCCTCCTCATCCGACTCGGGTTGCCGCCGAAGCAGCCACCATGGCGTGGGCCGCCGTGCCGCTCGGCGTGGCGCCGCTGCTGGCCCACTCGTCAGAGTGAGCCGGGCGCTTCTGCTCAGCCGGGCTGTCGACGTCGACACGGCCCAGTAGGCCGCTGACAGTGTCAACGGCGTCGGCCAACCAGTCGTGGGAAACGTAGGACCCGTCGCGGGAGGTGCAAAGAAACGGCTGAAGTGAGCAGAAGTCGGATTAACAAGCCAGCTCGGGGAAGAGGAGCGGGTCAGGTCAGGTCAGACTTACGTTGGTGTCGTCGTCTTCCTCGGGGCAGCTCCCGGCGTCGTTGCCTTGCTCGACTGTGTCATCCGGCAGCCTTCGAAGCCACCAGGGGGAGCGCCGCCTGGCAGCAGCGGCGGGCCCAGCAGTCGACGTGGTCCGCGCTTGTCGTGTAGTCTTGGCGGGGGCGATCGAGGGCATCTTGGTCTTGCCGAAGGTGAGCCGAACCGAGGCGAGACGATGGCGACAAGCGTGAGACCCGATGACCCATGGCGGGGTTGGCGTCGAAAGAGGAGGCGGAGGCAGTGGAAAGGGAGAGCGAGCTTGACGACAGGAGGGTGCGGCTTCTGGCAGGCGGACCAGACAATGAAGGGAACGGGTATGTTGCAGGGCACAGTCGAGCAAAAGAAAACAAGATGAGGGGGGGAGCTTGGCGGGAGACACCGGAGCTCGATGGTGGGATGGAGAAGGAAGGAGAGATCGATCTCAATGTCGAGCTTATAAGGCTGCAGAGGTGAGCGGCGGGAGCGTTGTGTGTACTCGTAGTTCTCAGTGCGGTGCAGTGCAGCGCGGTGCAGATGCGGATGAGGCTAGTCGAGGGCAGAGATGAGGGGGCGGGCAGGGGGCAGGAGGAAAGCAGCGCGCAGGCGGCTAGGAAGGACTCCATCCTGGCGACTCGGGTACTCGGGCGCGCCTGACTTGTTGTCCTCGGCGGCTCTGGTCGGCTCCCACATAGCGCCCGCCTCCGTCGACGCACACAGCTGCACAGCTGTGACCGCATGGGCTCGCCCACTGGGTGGGGGGGCTCACCATTCATCATGTCTCAGATAAGTCTGCGCCATGTACTCCTCCATCCTGCGCGGACCCCACCGCGCAGCATTACGCAGGTACGCAGGGCGAGCGACGCGACCGCCCATGCATGCATCATTGCCTTGCAGCTTGTAAGCAGGCTCAAGCGGCTCACGGGAATACCCTCCCATGCATTGCCAGCGTTGGCTGGGAGAACTGGGACACTAGGACTGACTCACCGATCACCGATGGACAATGCGAGGTCACAGACAAAGCGAGGTGACAGACATTCCGGCAAGGACCGAGGACGCTCCGCCTCCACTCTCAACCTGACACCCCCGGTGCCCCTGGCCCAGTGACGCCTCTCGGCCTTTGCCTCTGCCAGCTGCGCTTGCAACCTACGCCGTAAACACAAGCTCGCGCTAGCTCGCAGTCCGCGCAGTCTGCGAGCGATCGCGAGCGAGCAGAGGGCCAAGTGGGGGCACAGCCCCTCCCATAGTGCAGGACGCTCAAGGTCAGAGGCGTTGTGGAGACGAGGGTGGCGACATGGAGTGAGCCTAGCTCTCTGTAGGTGACGATCGAGAGAGAGTGCCGGGGCGCACTTCGGCCCCTCGACGTTCCCTGCCGCGCACATCAGACCTGTCGTCATTGAGCGCTATTAACGCAATTGGCTGCGCCCTGCTGAGCATGCGAAGCATGCGAACGTGCGAGCGATGGCGGTTAAGCTCGCAACTGCGCTATCGACTGACATGGTCCGGACCGCGGTCGTCGTGCTGCAGCCTGCCCCCGCACGTCGCGCCCCCAATCGCAAGCCACGCCGCGGCCCGTAATCTCCAGACACGGTGGTGATGATTGACCCATAGGCCCATAGACCAATGGAGATCGGGGCAAAGTACGGGTGCTTATGGAGGGCAGAGGGTCAGCATGACCAGAAGGCCTCTGTTATCGCGAACTCGCTCAGAGGCGAAAGTGGTAAACAGCCCGAGGTCTCGTGCAGCGTCGCGGGAGCTTCAAGGTCTATTCAGACCAGAAAATGTGGTTGCAATTGCCGAGCACGTTAGTGAGGTCTGGTCGTTCATACTTGGAAGCGTCATCGCGGAAGCAAAGGTAGCAGTATCGAGAGGCTGTGGCGCTCGAGGCGTGCTCTGAGGGCGTGAAGAGCTGAAAGGGCGCCTTTGGACACCCCTCGCGCACACCTGGCCTTTTGGTGAGAGAGAACGGGGCGAAGATGAAGCCCCCGGTCGTGGTTTTACCAGAGAACGCAGTCCTAAGTGGAAATGGAATGAAGATCGCGAACTCCCACCGCGACAGAAGCTTGGCCTCTGCTTTCGCTACCTCACTCGCATCTGTGTGAACATCGGCAATGCGACTGTTTGACTGGAGAGTTGTCCTGCTGTTAGTTGATTGCAAGACATACAACAATCTGTGAGCAGCGTGTGGTCGTCTGGTAAGCGGGAGGGGATCCACCAGCGATGACAAATATCCTATACTGTTCATAGTCCATCTAATGAAGAGCAACGTTCTTGAAGTCCATCAAATCGTGGTCAGGGGCGCGGGACCTCGGCCGTGAGTGCCTTTACCTTAGAATGATGGAGTTGGTGGGCGAAAATGGCAGGGGAGTCTCTACTCGGGAATGAAGAGGGACACCGGGGAAAAGAGAGGTTTCTCTGGGAGGAAAGGTATCTCTGTGAACTGGGAGGAGTGGTGGGGTCTCGTAGTCGAGGAGACTTTGGGGGGTATCTGGATAACAGTCAGCTTAGGGGGTTTCGTTTGGACACCGTGTCTCGAAACGGCTTCACAGCTCGCCCGATTCCTCACCTCGACGGTACCAGGGGACTCACTGCCACTGGTGTTATGCGCGAGGGCGCAGGCGTCGTGGCCCGGGAAGCAGAGGAGCCCGGGAAGCTGGTGCAGTCCTCGAGGCCGTCGCCGAAGCCGCTGCCGGGGCGGTTGCCGGGGGGGTCGCAGTCGGTGTAGCCGAGACCGTGGTCTGCCTACCAGACCCGTTGGCTCTCTTCAAGCGATCGCGGTAGTCAGCGAGGTAGGTGCTGGCGACCGCCAGTCAGGCGGCGAACCGAAGCCAATTGTGAAACATGGAAGTTTCTATGTCTTCCTCCCCGAAGCTGAAGAGCGGTGATCCCTTTGCAGTACGGATCACGACCTCGAGCTGCCTGGAGTCGATGGACGGCAACTCATCGATTGGGAGCCCCCGCTTGTCGCGCACCTGCACCAGAAGGCTGTGCTTTCCGGTCAGCAGGTATCGCCGCGCCTGGAGACATTTCCGGGGAACCGCGATCAGAATTGATGGCGGGTTCTCGTGTGGATCTCCAGCCAAGCTGTAGGCGGCCTTGCACACGACCGGATCCCTGGTGATCTTGATTACCGCGTCCTTCCCCTCCAACGTGCCCTGATGTTAGCAAGAGTCATCGGCACAACGTCGTCACCCACTTCCTTGGTGCCGTCTAAAACGCTCGCCAAGAGCCTGGACTGCTCTGACTGCCTGCGACGCAGGACAGCCAGTGACTCCACCTTTACAACCGCACCGACTCTGCTGCCGTCAGAATTGTTGGTCTGCTTGGTGAGGGCAGACGGCGAGGGCGCGGTCGACGACGCTTTGGCGGGCACGGGCGCGTCGCGGGTACCACCGGCGGCTCGGGTAGAACGTGTCATTCGCGGCACCGGTCCCGTTGTCTATGAGTATGAGCGGCGTTCAGAAGGCTCCCATCGCAAGGAAACTCACCGAGAGCGCTGTTGACGTGACCTTAGAGCTGGCCGCGGCGGAGTTCTTGTTCTTGCCGACCTGAGGCTTGGCTTTCGGGTTCTTGTTTGCGGTTCTCGGCATCTTGTAGGTGAAGTAGCAGTGTTACCACAAAGTGCCAGGGCTCGAAGGGAGGTGCCGGCGGCGGAAGCGGAGGGTGCTCGGGGTCGTGGTCGGGACAAGGAGGAATAGCGTGACAGAGGGCGGCTGTCTTCCGTAAGGAGCGTGGTGGTGACAGCAGTGGGTGCTGTCAGAAAAACAAGAAACAAGAAGGTGGGTGGAAAAGAAGGAGCGAAACAAAGAAAGTGAGTGGGAGAAGGTGTTGGAGGAGGAAGAGGATGTCAAGGTTCGCGGTCGAGCTAACGACACAACAAAGGTGAGTGGGCGGCGGGAGCATTCTCTGAGCTCGCGGAACAGATGCGCAGGCGTCCAGTGGATGCGAGGGGCGCAGGGCGCAGCGCGCTGGCGGTCAACAAGTCATCTCTCTGACGTGCTGAACGATCGGGTCGTTGTCCTTGGCGGCGTCGGCCTGGTCTGCAATAGCGCCCGCCACCTTCGACACACGCAACTCGCACAGCTCGGGCAGTCTGCCCTCGCTACTTCGGGGCCCCACTATTGACTTCTGTCTCGCTCGCGTCAGCCCGCCTCTACAAAGCGATTCACCTTGCGCACTGCGCACAAAGCTGAGCCGGCTCAGCGAGTCGGCAATTCTTCGACTGTGCATGCATGCCTGCCACGCAAACGCTCCAGAAAGGCTCAAGAGACACATGGGTGAGTGAGTGCCCCTATGCACTGCTCGTGCTGAAATCCCTGACTTCTCAATGAAATCACAGACCTTCCGGAAGTAATCTAGGACGCTCCGCCTCCACTTCCGCCCTGAAGCATCAATCGGTCCCTGGCCCAGTGGCGCCTCTAAGCCGTTGCCACGAGCACCTCGCCCGCCTGTGCGAGTTCACCGCCCACAAGGTGGCAAGGAGCGCACAACAGGTTGCATGGTGTGGGGTGCTACACACTGATGTCAATACAGCTAGACTATTACTGGTGAGGTGCTACAGACGATGAGCCTGCGACAGAGGTCGGTACGGAGGCGCTTGGGCGCCCAATCCACGGTTCCTTGCCCTCTCCCGCTGACCAGCTTCAAGCGCCGTTCCGGCGTCCAGCGTTCTTTTCTCCAATAAGATACCAACTCTTTCTCCCCAATGCATTTCTGCTCTGCCCAGCTGGGAACACCACCAGTGTCGTGCAACCCGTACGTGAGCGCCGCCCTCCTAGGCCGGGGAAACGTCACGAGGACAAAATGGTGATGGCGAGGATTTCTGTTTGTCAGACCCGTACCAGGCGAGCCACTCCCATGTAGTTGTGGCGCAGAGCGATGAGAGATCGACGTCATGGTCACTTGATGGTTTGCTGACTCCGTCGACATGGATGGGGAGAAAGGTCCCGCCACTGACAGCAGCCGCTTGCTGCCAGTGGAGAGAGTGTCAAGACACCTCAGAATGTCACACCGTTGCTGGTGGCGATGTCATTCCATGTGTCTGGATCGGCGTGCCCAGACAAGAGAAAGACACGTCTGTGTGAAGGACAAGGCCGAGCTTGCGTCAGAAGTAGAGAGGGAAAGTGGACCGGGGCGCAGACGTACGTCCCCCATGTCACTCGCTAACCCCAAAATCTGCCGGTCGCACTCTCGCTCCGTCTTCATACCAAGAGGTAAAAAAGACGTCTTGGCTCGTTGCTCTCACTTCAAGCGAAGCAACTACCTGCCCCCACTCAGAATCGAACTGAGATCTAGAGATACCGTGCGTATGAGACTCGCGTACTGGCCATTATACTATAGGGGCGGTGCTTTGTGAAGTTCTGAAAGCCGGACTGCGGCGGCGGGGACGTCGAGGTATTGGAAGACCGTTGAGGATATGGCGAGAGGAACGGAACAATGACTTCGCCAGTGCCCGGTGGAAGAGAAAGCTGACCTCGGCGCATCCCTCGCAGGCGGGGGCGGACGAGAACGGGCGCGGAGTGTCTGGAAAAAGGGTTGTGCGTGACAACGATACTGAGGTGACCCGGGGCGGTGGGGCAGGTGACAAGGAAGTGGGGGAGGCGCAGCCCTGTCTCAGCTACGACGCACACACACAGCGTCTCCGATGGACTCCCACCACGACCACCAGAAGAAGCAAAAGGTTCGTACGCTCTGGCGCTGCGCTGCTGGCTTACTGCTTCGCTTCTTTACTTGCCCCCACTCAGAATCGAACTGAGATCTAGAGATTATGAGACTCGCGTACTGGCCATTATACTATAGGGGCTCAGATCGGCGCCGAGACGATCCATGGGAGCTCGGCGTCGGCGTCGGTGATGAGCTGTGGTGGCAGACTAATCGCAGAGCGGCTTTGGAAGATGGATTTTTCCAAGTTGTGATCCAGGTGTGCAGCAAACTGCAACGCTTGGGCGCATCATGCAGAGGCCGTGCGCGGAGGTGTGCGTACCTTGGCTTGGGCACGTAGGCTGCCAATGCAAGGGTATGGGAGAGAGGCTGCTGCGCCGACAAGTGGACAGAAGCAATGACGACATCGAGGTCGGCGGCGATAAACGGCAAAGGCGGTTGAAGGCTTGGGTCTTGAGCTTCGCTAGGAGTGAATAATGCGGCGGATACAGGGAGCAGGCCGGCAACGACCACCCTTTCGTACATGTTGAAAGGGCATGAGCAGTGTAGACAGAAAGTACAGATTGTCGATGTGATGGGGAGACGAGGGTGAAGGAGCAAGGGAGGCGGAAAATGATCATCGTTTCGGTCGAGGGCCTTGACACTTACACGCCCAGATAGGCTCTTTAGCCAGATGGGCGGCCGAATATCAGGGAGACTTTCCGGTCGGGCTCGACTCGTCCCCAATCCAGCGAGTGGCAAACTTACTCCCACCCTCACGAAAGCGCTGAGTTTTGTCATCGAAGTACCGAGACGTGGGCGCTGTTCGCAAGCTGAACTTTGACCTCGCGGAGAACTGTGCCCGGGCTCTTCCCAACTTTTGCCTTTGCGTGCAATACTTGCCCTAACAGCCGCTGTATTGTCTGCCCCCCCCGCGCCGATCGATATCTTGATGGTGCTCGCCCCGCCCAACCATGGCCACCGACCATATGTTAAGCCCATTCCCATCGATCGTCTCGTGCTAGATGGTCACACCTGACGCCCTCATTCCACACTGCATCTCGTACGTACTCCTTTGCGGTCATGGGCGTCTAGTCCTCGCTACGTCTGTTCAGCGAACGTACCCGGCCCCAAGCATAGGGGAGTTCCCGAAACACTCAAATTATCCTATGCCTGAGACCCAGTGAGACACAGCACATACCTTGACCGGCCCTTCCCAGACCTGTGCCCGGCATTTGATGCAGAATGGGGACGCCCCCGGAGCCCATCACCGTCTGTGTGCTCACTTTCCGTCCGCTGAGGCATTTTTGGTATTTCTCGTATTTCTTCATTTTTTCGCTCTCTCTCTGCTCCTCTTCGTCGTGCTTAGCCCGCTCGCCGGCGCGGACTTCCGTACATGGCATCAGCGCCGACAGCCCCTATAGTATAATGGTTAGTACGCGAGTCTCATATGACGGTATCTCTAGATCTCAGTTCGATTCTGAGTGGGGGCAGGCAAGCAAGCGTGTGCGGCATTCGAGCTCGAGCACGGATGCGCGCAGTCTTTTTCTGTCTTGTCTCGGGGGAAGGGGTGTGGGCTGTGTGTCTGGGTATGGGCTAGCTGAAGACTGAATTACTCCTCCTACGAGCAGCTGATCAGGAGCCGTCTCTCGACAGGTGACCACTTCCGGGCGAGACGATCGATCGACCGCCAGTCATGCGCCAAACGCGCTCACTCCTTCCTGAAGTGTGGAGTTTGGACTTGGAGAGGGAGTTGCATTCTAAAGCCCTTCCGCTGCCACCGGAACTCCGGCCATCGGCGCTGACGGCGCCGTCGGCCAGCCGCGCAGCACCCGGCCAGTGAACAACGTCTTCCTGTTCGTATAACGGCTAGTATGCTCGCTTGTCATGAGTGATCGCGGGAGATCGGAGTTCGATTCTCCGACAGGAAGCTTTTTACCCCCTTTGACGCCCTCTAAAGGTCGTGAAACACTTGGTCAGTCGATAGGGAGGCTGGGCGAGGTAGCAAGAGGTCTGAACGCCGAACAGGAGGTGTCTGAAGCATCGCTACACCCCAGGGGTAAATCAAATCTTCAGGAGGCGGTTCCACAAGCGGTCAGGAGTCCACACGTTTCCTCACGAGAAGCTCTGCAGAGCGCGCATCGCTGCCCTGTGTGGAGGCAGCTCCGAATAGTATGGCGTGTACGGCGACCTCGCTGGCAAAGCGGCTCAAATTGCCGGTTCAGCGACTCGGCATCATATTGCTGCTGGTTTGGATCAGCAAGTGCCAAGACCTCTCCGGAAGTGATTCATACGGGCAGGCTATAGTCACACCTGAGACGTGCTCTACACCCGTTGACTCGTTGTACGCATTAAGGGGTATTTGTGAAGCGGGAGACAGAGATTTTCGTTACACTGGGACAATGCACAAAGTGCAGGGTGCGTGCGCCGTCGGTGCCGGATCGTTTTCAGCCCAGACGCCCGCCTTTTCCCAAGGGATCAACAACTCGAGCTTCCTCCAAAGCTGCAGAATGTCTCTGACCCCACTCCTCCTTGTACTCAGGCGGCAGCAACTCGTTCTCGCCGGCGTCCTCCATATCTACTGCGCGATGCCGACCAGAGGTAGCAGCCTCTGAATTGTTCACGATGCCAGGGGCATTGGCCTGAGGCCTACGAGGCTCCTCTGAGAGGGCCGAGCTCTGCTTCTTAGCGACGATGGGCGTCTTTGTGGTGCCCTGTCGATCACGCGGGCCCCGAGGTTTGGCTGTTTTAGACCTCGAGATTCTGTCCGTTGACGAGCGGGAGGAGGGGGACGGGCGGGAAGGTGCGGGGTGAGGAGTGATGACTTGGACGTCTTCGGTCGGTTCGAAGGTTGGAACAAGGTGGGGACGATGGCGGGAAGCATGCAGAACTTGCAGTTGCTGTTCACGACGATGACGGCCGGTCGCTTGATCCTGACGGCGCTTGCGACGGCGGACGAGATGGAGAACGACGAGGAGGAGAACGCCCGCCCCTACAACGGCGCCGATGACGCCGGCCGCAATGGCGTTCGCCTTTGATCTGGGAGTGGGAGGGGAAACCCAGCGTGTCATTGCGTTAATCTGGCGATGCAGGCTAAACGTGAGTCTGTTGGAGCTACAGTTGTCGAAAGGGTGGCAGCAATATGGTTTGGAGTTCGCGTGTATCCTGTCGTACAGAAACTGAGAGTGGACGCAAGTATCACTGTACCGAAACAAACCGTGAAAATGAGCTTCGTGGGACCATGCGCTCACGGAGTCAGGTGCATATTGGCGTACATTGGAAACGATAACACCTTGTTGCTGTCGATCCGCGGCAAGGGAGTACCGCTTACGCTTCAGAACCTGCGGCACCCCTGACGGCCGAGGACCGATCACGCTTCTACAGGCACGGACGGATGGGGAACTGCAATAACCTTGTTGCATACTGCGATCAGTCGTTATTCTATTCCAACCTGCTCCTCGGACACGACACGTTGGCTATCGAGGTACGGGGATCGATACCGTCATGTGGCTTTGAGAGCGGAGGAGCTCTCTCCCGCCCGCAACACCCTTTGGACTGGGTAAAGGCTCTTGATCTCGTCAGACACCAATGTCCTGTGTACCAGAAATTTAGCTTCTCTTGTAAACCCCCGCTGCGTATATCACCCCCCCCCCCCAACGAGGCTGGAAAGAGATGGACGCTCTTGCAAAGCACCCTCCCCGCCCTAAGCGCCACGTGCCTGCGGAGGATCGACAGCGCCGGCGCCGCTTTTCAGGCCGCACAAAAGTTCCGGGAGCCGTCATGTTCCATTGCATAGCAAGCATGACGGAAGCGTGCAAGGGCATCAGGTTTATGAGCTTCTTGACCTGACGCTCTGCTCCACGGCATGCAAACCGTTGCCGAGCTTGCGTGGCTCTGGGTACAGGGTGTGTTCGCAATTGGTAGGCGTCTGTGAGCCATGATGATGCGCGGCAATGCGGCCTGTAAACCGTTCGAGTTGGGGAGGGTGCTAGACTGGCAGAGGCAAGGCCCCCGACACCGATCACTCGCATGTCCAGTAGACCTGGCTGAGACATGAATGGCTGTGTGCACAACGGAGTAGGCCGACTGCCCGAACCACTGAGGTGTGTTTTCCCAGGGTGGACTGCGCTTGTGCACAACGGAGAGACGCCCCCTGAAAGCAACGATCGCAGCGTCCAAGCCTGCGAGATACGATGAGCCGCGGACCACTAGCCCTGCGCCCTCCTTTCTTCCAGCGGCCTGTCAACCCACTCGACGAGCATGCTTGCCAAATACCTCCGCCGCTCGCCGCCCAGCTGTCATCACCTCCTGGCCGAGCTCCTCATGTCTCTTCCTCACCAACATCAACCCTCCCTTTACCTTATCCCACCCCTTTTGGTACCACAGTTCCTGTCTGCACCTACCAAAACGATGTCTACAGCACGGATCAAAGGGAGTAAAAGGTCCCGCGCTGAGTCCTTACTGCCGTCTTCGTCCACAGTGAGTCTGGTTAGTGACTTCCTTCAAGTGGAGGTTTCTCGTTGCCACCTTGTCAAACACATCTACAGCCTTCCTCTCCCCCCTCCGACCTTTATGACCGAACGGTCGGCCTCTTAAACGAGTGGGCGCAGCACTACGAGAAGCGGAAGGGAAAGCGCAGGAAGCTCAACAAGCGAGCGACGTCGAAAGCACTGCTCCTCGAGGAGCTCCAGTGAGCTGAGCCTCAAGGCAGCTGGAACAACGCTCTGAACACCGACGACGTCAGCAAGGAAGCTTCATCGCAGCCCTTCTGGAGCGTCTTTCGGCGCTTGACCGACGCTGCCCGGACCGGTGAGCCCACAGCTTCCTACGCCTTAGCGCGACCGGGTAACCTCACGGAAACCTCCGAGTCTTCGGCCGACGAGGAGCCACCCGCCGACCCGATCGAGATTGGCTTGCGGGCCCAGGTAAGTTTTGTTCTACGATGTTTGTGCACATGATGGTTCGCTGACGCTCAGAACGTCTCAAGCCGCAGCCACTCATCAATCTTCAACGCCTTTGAGCAAGGCACGCGCGTCTTGATTGGCATAACAATTCAGTCCATTCTAACGACAGGTCTCCGACGACACTACCACATTCTTCAATCCCTTCATCCAGCACGAGACAACGCTGTATCGAGTCGCAGCGTACCTCGATGATGAAGACGCTGTGCTGAAGCGTGTGGCAGTACCCTTTCCCCGCGAAAAGGCTATGGCTCACCGGGACGAGGACGGAGACATCATCCTCTCCCTGAAGATGATCGACCGAACTCAGGACCGACTGCGCGAATCGACCTTCAACCCGAAGAATCTCGTGTTGCGGGCGTATGGCATGCTCAGCCACTGCCGGCAAACGCGCCGGAAATCTTTCTAGTGCCGTTGCGCCGCCAGCCAAGAAGGCGTGAGTTCCCTTCCTCGTCATTGCCAGATTCACCTTGTTGACACAACGCAGAAGGCGAAGAGCCCCAGTGCCTAAACCGACCAAGACCATGCTCCCAGCTGCGCTCAGATGGTGGCGGCAGCGTCGGCCGCAATCGCGCAGAGCACCAACGACATTGCGCGCGCCATCAAGGTCATCGAGGAGAATACCGCGATCATCGTCAAGATGGCCTCCTCCGCTGAGCCAGCCAACCCGCAGTTCGACCCGCTCCCACTGTTCGCACCCGCTCTACCAACGAACCAAGCCGGGGAAGCAGGATCAAGCCCCACTCCCATGTCTACGTGGGCAATCGAGACAGTGGCTTCGATCCACATGTTGACTGTGAGGCTGCCCTGACAGAAACACACTTGAACAATGTTCTAACGCTCAGCGCAAACCGAACGCCGAGTATGACAAGATGCTCAAGTCATTCCTCGACGGGCGCAGGAAGGTGAGCGGCAGGTGGTGGGGTCCATTCTAACAACAGATGACAATGCCTCACAAGGGCACGTTCATCCGGTTCGTTTCGGGCGGATCCGCAACGAGGAGAGTTGCGTTCCTCGGTGACCAGCGACTCGAAGACGTCATCGACATCTCCGTGCCGTTGCCCGAAGGGGAGCTGGACAAGCGCAAGAAGTTCCGCGGAGTCCACTCGGGGTATCGCCTCTTGCACGTGCACGAGCTCCCCGACGGGTCAGTCGTGTGCGACCCCGATTTTGTGAAGATGCTGGTGTCCACGGAGGGGGGTCGCGAGCGCTTTGTTTACGGCGTCGAGGCTCTTGAACCAGACAACGCGCGTCGCTGGAGGAACCTCATAAGGTGGCTCTCCCTCACATCATACGATAACGCCACCCCCTCGTGATCAACTCGCAGTCGTTTGTCGGACTTTGAGTTTAGGCTAATGCCATGAAATGTCTCTTATTCAATTGCTGTGACATGCAGGCTGTGCGAAGACTGATAGATTCCGAGCCTGTTACAATGTCTGAGTCATCAGATTGCGGGCGACGTTAGTACATCGCAAGTTGCAAAATGCGGGGACCTGACCCCGCTGGCGAAGTCCCTCGACCCGACCAGCCGTGCATCATGCTGCTCCTCGGACTGACATGCATCAACTCTCGGTGGTCACGTACCTCGCCTACTGCCTTAGATATTCCCGCTCTTGCCTGTTCGAAGAAGAGCGCCGGCCTTCCAAGCACGTATCGGACATGCTCGAGGGGCCAGCTACGAGGCCGCAGAATGGTCGAAGGCTACTTTGGCCCCCGGGGCAGACCTTCACAGACGTCATGCTTGGGAGTGAGCATCACTTCGCTTCGCATGGTCCGCTGTTCATTCTGATGGGCCGCCTACCCTCCTTCCAATGCTGTTCACCATTATCCTCGAAGGCGAGAGAACTGGGAACAACTTCCCATACTCGTGCCTGCTGCACCCCACACACCTTCTTGCTACTAACGCTAGCGGCTCTTGGATCGGCCACAGGCAAGCTCGTCGAATGCTGCTGTCCCTCACCTCCCAGGGGCCGCTCGATCTCACGACAGAACGCCGCCGTCCGGACACGTCGTGATCCCAACTAAGTTTCTATCCAACCGTGCGTACCACCCGTATACTTCTACGAGTGCATAATCCTCTGCGTGCAGCACCCCACGCTAGGCAAGTTGTTGTGCGCACTTTTCCATCTTGTGGACGGCAGAACTTGCACGCGTCGCACGGGCGGTGAGGTGCTTTGAATGCTTGGACAACCGAGAGACTTCAGGCTGGCTTAAAGCATATACGACTACCCCCAGGAGCCGACCTATCGAGACACTCATAGGTGCGCTTTGGAGCGCACAGATCGCGATGCCGCCTACTTCATACCCTGCTTCACCAACCGCCATCACACTTTGGGTGTAAGAGCAAGTTCTCGTGTCGAAGGGAAGCATGCAGCGCTCCAGTTGCTTCAAAGGAAGCATGCAGCGCTCAAGAAGCAACTTTCGACAGCCAAAGGCAACCTTCTCTGCCTTCGTTCAATCACACGCAGCCAAATGGAGCATGAGTGGCGAGAGATCACACTTCGAATGGCGGAAGAAATGACCGACAACGGTGACAGGTTCCCTAGGGTGCAGCAGGTGATCGCTGACCACGTCTCCCCCCAAGCGATTGGCCTTGTCCGACAACAATGCCGCCTCTTTCAGTCACACGAGCAGCATGAGCAGCCTGTAGAGCAGGAAGCGCAGCGCTGTATTGGGGGCTGGAGGCGTTCGATGGGCCTGCCATGCTGGCATGAGCTGAAAGAGCTGGTCCGGGAAGGTGCAGTGCTCGATGTTTCAGCGGTTCATGAGCTTTGGAGGCTGTCCTCAGCTGAGGACATCCCTTACTGCGCCGTCAATGGGTATTGTCCGGCGCCAGTGTGCTCCAACGGGGCTCTAGTCAGTGGAGAGCAGGTCTACAATGGGCTACAAGCACCTACTGTAGTAATTCGACAGCGTATGCGTCTGAATGGCTCCCAGATCGAGATTCCGCTAGGTGGCGATATCGACACCTCGGCAGTCTTCTTGCAGCGCGATCCCCGCCTCGGCAGCCGCTCTAATCGCAGAGAACCCACAGGCAGAGAGCTGAATGACATGGAAGAGCAGTACTCGCAGCAGCAGTCTCTGTATGCCGAGTAACATCAATGCATGATACTGCCGAAGGAACGGACGTCCAGACAGCCTGGGCGCTGCTGCAGCTGTCCCATCGCCTCCACCCGCTCTCTTGCCTGCTGGAAGCACTAACAGCATTGGGAAACCTCTCTGTCTGGGTTGTAACAAGCGTATTGCGCACAGAAAACCGAGTAGACGCCTTGAGGAACGCCTTCGGCGCGCTAGGCGCTTGCTTAGATCAGGAATCAGTCACGTATGGTGCATGCAACACCAAAGAATGCCCTCACGAAGATTTGGACTGATCAACGGCCAGGTGCCACCTGCCACCCGCTCTCGCTGGATGGGGAGCGGAAGCAAAAGGGTCCGCGTAGGAAAGCGCCTGGGTGCGTGTAGGAGACACCTCATGGTTGTTCAAGACTGGAGATTGGAGACTCACGTTTTAGTGCCCAACACCTGCAGTACGAACGGCGCGGAAATCGACTGTACCGGGGCGCTTTGATCCGCAGTGACGTGCGGCCTGCGTCCAGTGGGTCGGGTACGCGGAGGTGGGTGAAGCCTACCAACTGCGGTGACGAGGAGGCCAACAAGATCTTGAACGCCTGAACTAATTGGGTGTCCGGCAGTCCCTGTGCCGCAGGGCGAAGCTCCTCGCCAGTACCCCACCAAGACGAACGGTGTGCGCATGGTGCATGCACGGCTGGCGAACTCTGGCAGGGAGCGGTCGCAGGCGGAAGTCAGCTGGGAACTAGAAGATCGTCTGCGCCATCACGCAACCCTGTACTCCGTCATGACCAGAGCCTCCTTTCATCTCGGTGCCTCTGCTCTCGTTCTCATACCCACCAATTGGATGAGGCTCGATGCATTATTCTCCCTGTTGCACCTGCTTGTGGGACTAGCTAGCTGCGAGCTGACGCAGTCGGCAAAACCGCTGGAGGCAACAGCCGTTAGGCGTCACTGGGCCAGGGACCGATCGTGGAATGGGAGCGCCGTGTCCTGTATCCTTGCCAGAGCCCCAGAAACTCTAGTAACTGTCCATCGCGAAGACATGGCATCTAGACGTCAGGACTGCGTGCACTTGCTCTTGAGCGTCTAGTCCTTGTCCGCAAAGCTCGTATGCATGCGCACTCGCGCAACGCAGCTAGTTGCATGCGCAAGACACGTCCCTTAAGGCAGACTTGGGTGAGACATGAATGAGGTGGTAGGCCGCCCCCAACGTCGTGGTGGGGGTGGCGGGGTGGCAAACCCTTGCAGAATCAGACCAGTGCCGCCGAGAGCGAGGAACCGATCATCCAGCATCTCTTGAGGGGTGGTCACCTGACTTCGTGCTGTGCCCCCCCTCGTATGGAGCTGTACTGACTTATATAAGGCTGTCGCCACTCGCTCGTCTTCCTCATCCCCCCATCCCCCCATCCCCCTTCTTCTTCCTCCGACCGTTTGTCCTCCACGTCCTTTGCCCCCCCCCCCCCCACCCCTCTCCAACTATTTGCACTTTCTCTCCCAACTACTGTCTCCCATACTCCCCTCGTTCTGTTCGTCTCTGAGCTATTCGACCGCCAGCTATCAGCAAGTAAATGAAACCCGAAGCCGCCGACGCAGAGCCCGCCATCGAGGGCACCGTTCTGAACATCCAATCTCGGGCACACACCCTCCTTCTTCTTCATTGCCCTCCTTCTTCCTCGACCTTCTTGTCTTCTCGACCTTCCGGTCCCTTACCGCTTCACGCCGCCACTCGCCCCGTCTCTTGCAACCACCCGTTCGACGTACGGTGCCGCCGTCCGGGACGTTATCGCCACTGCCCATCTCCTGTGTGCTGTAGCTCGTCGACAAGAAGCTCCAGCTCTTCTCCACTCACCCCGTCTCTTGCAATTTACCCGTTCTACGTACCATGTCGAGGACACGCATCCAGCCTAAGCGTGGGAATGGGCCCCCTCAAGCACAAGTCTCTAAGGCTGTAGGCCGCAAGCGAGCCGCCGAACCTGCAGTAGCGGTCACACAGCCCGCTAAGAAGGTCGTGAGTTCTTCCCTTCCTCGTCATTGCCAGATTCACGTCGGTGACTCCGCTAACAAACACAGAAAACGCAAAAGGCCAGCTCGCAGGCCAACGAGGACCACGCGCCCACGGCCGAGGAGCTGATGGCGGCGGCTGCGGCTGCGATCACGGAGTTCGACCAAGTGATCGCGCTGACCACTACGACGATCGAGAAGAACAATGCGCTTCTTGTCTCATTGTCCGCTAGGATCCAGCAGGCGGATGACGAGAAGAAGCTGAACTCCGAGAGCTCGCCTGAGGCTCTCGAACAGGCTTCGCGCATCCCCTCGCATACATCAGCGACAGCGTCAACGTCTAGCCCGTCCTCTTCCTCTCCTTGGGCTGCAACTACTTTGGCGAGTCTTCAAACGCTCAAGGTGAGGGCACCCTGACTGATAGCCGCACTTGACCAGGTCACTGACAACCAGCGCAAGCCTAACCGCGAGTACCGGGAGATCTTGGAGACGTTCCTCGACGGCAGAAGGACGGTTAGTGGAAGGTGGTTCTCTGTGGGGTCATTCTGACAGCAGATGACGATGCCCAAGAAGGGCACGTATATTCGTTTCATACATTCCAAGTCGTCCTTGCGCCGTGTCGCCTTCGTTGCCGATCAGCGAGCTGAGGACGTGCCTGATATCAGCCTCCCCCTCCCTGCGGAGGAGATCGGCAAGAGACAAAGGTTCCATGGGCACGACTCGTGCTACCGCTTGCTCAACGTCACGAAGCTCCCAGACGGCTCTATCGTGTGCGATCCGCATCTCGTGAAGATGGTCGTGTCCACCGAAGGTGGACGTGAACGGTTCTTGTACGGCATCGAGAAGCTGGAACCGGACAACCAACGCCGGTGGGAGGATCTGATAAGATGGTTGACTCTACTGCCGTATGATAACTCCCCACCTGTAGAATTGTCAGTCCCTGCGCGAAAATAGGTGGTCGCGAGCGCTTCACCTACGGTATCGAAAAGCTGGACCACAATAACCAACGTCGCTGGGAGGAGCTGATAAGATGGCTTGCCCTAACGTCCTACTCTTGTTACCGACTTCTCCTGATGGATCGGCCATGTGCGATCCGTTAACGGTCAGCATGGGGTGGGCGTGGTGTGTTTACGGAGTTGAGCGTCTGGGAGCGGACAACCCCATGAAATGAGCAATCTGTGCGGCGACAGTCTGTACGACGACTTTGTCGCCGCACTTTATAAGAGATGTGGAAGTCTGTAGCCTCTGAGTATGCCAACATTCGCAACACATGAAGGGCTCATAAGAAGGCTAATTCCGACCTCAGATCTCTGGCCCCCGACATTTTACCCCCTTACTCAACGTGACCCAGTATCCGACAAATCAATGCCATGCGATCCGCTTGTGGCCAGGATGGGATTCTGGCAGAAGGTGGTGGCGGAAATTCGTTTACAGCATCGAGTTTCTGGATGCGGGTACCCATTGTCGATGGCAGGGGGCTCATAAGATAGCTAACCTTCACCATTTACGGTAACACCTCACATATAACGACAGAGACTTGTACACCCCACAGTTCACAAACTCCGTACAAAGGATGAATTGCAGTGCATGTGTCTGAACTGTGTCAAGGGGTCCAGGCAGTGTGAAGATGTAGGGATGCTGACCAAGCGTTTGCTGCAGTGTATTCACCTGAGATATAATTCACATCAGTAGATGGTGTCGGAAGCTCGGGCAATTGTCTGCTAGGGCTGCTCCAGATCCCGGTCTGCAAAAGGATCTCATATTTGGATAGTGATGGGGGACGCTAACGGGGCGATGCCCTATGGACTATTCCCATCGTAATGCTCCACCCGTCTATCTGCGCAAAGGACTGTCCAAATCCATTGTCGCTAAGGCAAGCCAAGGTTGTTATGCCTTGCGCAACACTGTCACGTGGAAGAGTACCGGGATGCTGATGGACATGATGACATGATGTGAAGTCAGGTCATGGGGTGACAACCCAGATCATGCCCTTGTAACCCACGCCAAGCCTTGATGACCAAGGTCACTTGGTATCAACAATGGCCAACCTGGTTGTGATATCACAACCCAGCTGTAGACCACGAGAGATGATGATTTATAGGTTGTAACACTGGGACAAGTCATGTCGCCACATATCCACTGGGGTCGTGCCATGCTGAGCAAGGCTGTGCTGTGCCGACAGGAGGCTAAACTAGGGTCACAGGTGAAGTAGAACGTGTGGCGCCACGAAACGAGGCCATGAACACTCGACCTCGCCGCAACGTCACATAACTCATGCATATGCACGTTTCTTGTTCTATGAACACTTGTTCTACGTGCATGGGTCTTCTCAACCTATTCACAAAGTATGGAGCATGCAGGATCAGTATTTGATATTTCCTCCATCGGCTGAGATGGTGGCCTTCATTCTGTTAGGCATGGACATGATAAGTCGGTCAATCTCCCCCTGATCATACGCGTCCCACAGCTCAGTAGCGGCGGCAAAGAGCCCCTCTTTGGTGGTGGGACGAGGGTTGAGAAGGGCAAGGGGGCGCTTGAGGTTGCTCCAAAGGTTCTCAATGGGATTGAAGCGTGGGGAGCAAGGAGGGTGAGGCAGGAAGCGCATGCCAAGCTGCTCAGCCTGGCCACGGGTTGCCTTGGCCGTGTGGATCACAGCGTCGTCCTCTACGACGCAAGGAAGGCCATAGCCGCGTCACTGCGGCTTGAAACGCTTCCAACAGTCAAACAGCTCCTTCTCAGTCACCTCGGTGCGATGGATGGCTGCATTGACCCCCTTGCGCTTGGAGGTTGACTCAGAGCTGTCAAACCACAGCAGCTGCGACTTGCTGCCGTACCAGATGGATGCTCAGCACATGTTTTCTGGGCCCTACAGTCAGAGCTTTCGCTGGGTGAGTGTTTTGCTGGGTGAGAGTCGGTGAGTGTTTTGCTCGGTGAGTGTTTTGCTGGGTGAGAGGT